GTGTGTCTGTGTGTGTGTCTGTGTGTGTGTCTGTGTGTGTGCGTGTGTGGTGTGTGGGGAGCGGTAGTGTAGTGGTTAGCGTGCTGTCTGTGTGTCTGTGTGTGTGTGTCTGTCTGTGTGTGTGTTCTGTGTGTGTGTCTGCGTGTGTGGTGTGTGGGGAGCGGTAGTGTAGTGGTTAGCGTGCTGTCTTTGTGTCTGTCTGTGTCTGTCTGTGTGTTTCTGCGTGTGTCTGTGTGTGTGTGCGTCTGTGTGTGTGAGGAGCGGTGGGTGTAGTGGTTAACGCTACGCTGCGCTACCAACCCGGCGAACCGAGTTAGATTCCCGCTCATGGCCACCACCGATCAAGATTATTTGAACCTCACATAGGTCGACTCAGCCTCAAACGAGTAACTGGTGTGGCGTATTAACATCGCCACTGGGGAGACAAAGGCGGCCGGCCGTGGTGGATACAAGTCCCAGGCGAAGCCGGGTAGTACAGCTAGTCTATATATATAAAATCGTTCATGTCTGTGTGTCTGTGTGTGTGTGTGTGGCCTTTGGCCCATACGCACTTTCATTGGACGGCGGTTGCCCCTGGCAACGGCTAGCCACGCCTTCGCCGCTTTCATTGGACCTGGCAACGGCTAGCCACGCCTTCGCCAAGGGCTGCAGTTTCATTGGACGGCGGTTGCCCCTGCCAACGGCTAGCCACGCCTTCGCCACTTTCATAAGCTCCGTATTTAATTAAATAATAGCCATTACACAGTATTGTTGGAGCGCTAGGGGGGGGGGGGGAAGGAACGCCACCCGTACCCTGCCTCTTCCAAGCCGACAATTTTAGGCGAGGCCGCAGGCTTTGCACGCTACTAGGCCTCGACACCCACCACGCCACTCTGAGGTAAATTCATCCAAGTTTTTCCTACTCTTCACTACACCCCCACCACAATGTGTGCTATTAATATTACTTTTAAACCCAACGCGCCAACAATCGATTACTTTAATGTTCACTGTACAAATACTCATTAAGCTGGGTGAGCATACTGCCAGTCTATCATGTACACTGTAGCCTGCTTATTAAGCTCGGTGAGCGTACTGCCACTCTATCATGTACACTCTAGCCTGCTTATGAAGCTGAGTGCGTGTACTGGCAGTCTATAATGTGGACTCTTGCCTGGTTATTATAATCGATTCTTTATATGTTCTTTGTACAAACAGTCATTAAGCTGCTTGAGCTACCCCAGTTCGATTCCAACTCACGCCCACCACCGCTGACGATTATTTGAAACGGACCTGGCCCTCCCCTAGGTCCACTCAGCCTCAAAAGCGTAACTGCTGTCGTGTGTGAACATCGTCACTGGGGAGACAAAGGCGGCGGGGCATCGTGGATCCAAGTCCCTGGCGAAGCCGGGTCATGTGTGTGTGTGTTTGTGTTTATGTGTATGTCTGTGTGTCTCTATGTATGTGTGTATGTATGTGTATGTATGTGTTTGTGTGTATGTGTGTGTGTATGTATGTGGGTTTTTTTTATGTCTTTATGTGTATGTCTGCGTGTCTCTATGTATGTGTGTATGTACGTGTGTGCATGTGTTTGTGTGTATGTATGTGTGTGTCTATGTATGTGTGTGTATGTGTTTCTGTGTATGTATGTGTGTGTATGTATGTGCGTTATGTGTCTGTCTGTGTCTGCATGTATGTGTGTGTGTATTGTGTATGTGTTTGTGTGCATGTATGTGTGTGTTTGTGTGTATGTGTATGTCTGTGTGTATGTGTTTGTGTGTATGTGTGTGTATGTATGTGTGTGTATGTGTTTGTATGTGTTTGTGTGTTTACGCTCGCATTACACAAATGTGTTGCTGGTCTAAGGCGTTCCTCGCACAGCATTGCCGCTTTATAGTTTCAGTCGTTTACTGCCTTACGCACCCTGAAAGTCGTGTGTATCTGCAGCAAGCGCGTGTATGTGTACCTATGGACGCGCGCGCGTGTGTTGTGTAGGGGGAACGGTAGTGTAGTGCTTAGCGTGCTGTCTGTGTATGTGTGTGTGTCTGTCTGTGTCTGTCTGTGTGTGTCTGCGTGTGTCTGTGTGTGTGTCTGTGTGTGTGCGTGTGTGGTGTGTGGGGAGCGGTAGTGTAGTGCTTAGCGTGCTGTCTGTGTGTCTGTGTGTGTGTGTGTCTGTCTGTGTCTGTCTGTGTGTGTCTGCGTGTGTCTGTGTGTGTGTCTGTGCGTGTGTGGTGTGTGAGGAGCGGTGGGTGTAGTGCTTAACGCTACGCTGCGCTACCAACCCGGCGAACCCAGTTCCATTCCCGCTCACGGCCACCACCGGTGACGATTATTTGAACCTCCCCTAGGTCCACTCAGCCTCAAACGAGTAACTGGTGTGGCGTATTAACATCGGCACTTGGGAGACAAAGGCGGCTGGGCGTGGTAGATCCAAGTCCCGGGCGAAGCCGGGTCATGTGTATGTGTTTATGTGTATGTCTGTGTGTCTGTATGCATGTGTGTATGTATGTGTGTGTATGTGTTTGTGTGTATGTCTGTGTGTGTATGTATGTCGGTTTTGCCGCCGTGGTGGATCCAAGTCCCGGGCGAAGCCGGGTCATGTGTATGTGTTTATGTGTATGTCTGTGTGTCTGTATGCATGTGTGTATGTATGTGTGTGTATGTGTTTGTGTGTATGTCTGTGTGTGTATGTATGTCGGTTTTGCCGCCGTGGTGGATCCAAGTCCCGGGCGAAGCCGGGTCATGTGTATGTGTGTATGTGTTTATGTGTATGTCTGTGTGTCTGTATGCATGTGTGTATGTATGTGTGTGCATGTGTTTGTGTGTATGTATGTGTGTGTGTATGTATGTGGGTTTTTTTGTATGTGTTTATGTGTATGTCTGCGTGCCTGTATGTATGTGTGTATGTACGTCTGTGGATGTGTGTGTGTGTCTATGTATGTGTGTGTATGTGTTTCTGTGTTTGTATGTGTGTGTATGTATGTGTGTTATGTGTCTGTCTGTGTGTCTGCATGTATGTGTGTGTGTATTGTGTATGTGTTTGTGTGTGTTTGTGTGTTTACGCTCGCATTACACAAATGTATAATGCGGGTCTAAGGCGTTCCTTACACAGCATTGCCGCTTTATTATTTCAGTCGTTTACTGCCGTATGCACCCTGAAAGTCGTGTGTGTCTGCAGCAAGCGCGTGTATGTGTACCTATGGACGCGCGCGCGTGTGTTGTGTAGGGGGAACGGTAGTGTAGTGCTTAGCGTGCTGCCTGTGTCTGTGTGTGTGTGTCTGTGTGTGTGTGTCTGTGTGTGTGTCTGTGTGTGTGTCTGTGTGTGTGCGTGTGTGGTGTGTGGGGAGCGGTAGTGTAGTGGTTAGCGTGCTGTCTGTGTGTGTGTTTCTGTCTGTGTGTGTCTGCGTGTGTCTGTGTGTGTGTCTGTGTGTGTGTCTGTGCGTGTGTGGTGTGTGAGGAGCGGTGGGTGTAGTGCTTAACGCTACGCTGCGCTACCAACCCGGCAAACCCAGGTCGATTCCCGCTCACGGCCACCACCGGTGACGATTATTTGAACCTCCCCTAGGTCGACTCTGCCTCAAACGAGTAACTTAACTACTGTAGCGTATTAACATCGCCACTGGGGAGACAAAGGCGGCCGGCCGTGGTAGATACAAGTCCCGGGCGAAGCCGGGTAGTACAGCTAGTAATGTGTATAGTTGAAGGTGCTAGGTGTTGTCTTCTTCTAACAGCTACTAACGTGCGTGTGTTGTCTGTTTTTAGGATTTGTCCATTGATGTTGTTCTTTTTATTGCGGCGTTTTTTTGTTGAGTTCTGTCACTTGAGTGTTGCAGTTTGTTTAAGAATTCGTCACGTGAGCGTGGTGTTTTGCTTGTGGGAATTTCGCTTTGTCACAATTTGTGATTGTTATAATAATTGTAACGATTCATAATCTCATGAGTTTATAATGGGTTTGTGCGTGTATTTATATAAATATATTCCGTCTTTTGTTATTCGATGACATCTTGCATTAAAAATCGTGATATTCATATGACCATGTTGTAATTGTAATAATTTTTATCCGATCCTTGCACGTGTACAGTTTATCCCCGACATACTTCGGGATGAGGGACTGGTACGTTAATGAACGATTAACTACGGGGACCTTTCCCCTCAAGGAACACGTGTTAATCGGGTAGACAGACAAGATGCTGCTGGTTAAGGGCACACTTGTGTGACGGAGATCCTCCACCTGAAACTCGCTTACCATGTTTTTGCTAGGAACATTATAAAATAAAGACCGGACAAACATTTGTTAAAAATACGTTTTTATTCTTCTGCAATCATTTTTACGTCAAAACTCGAATGGAATATTTATTATGTCCAAGTTCACACATTTCCAGTAGAATGCAAACCATTTCCGTTCCAGGAATACAAAAGGGTTAAAGTATCATTTCCATGATTTCACCACATTTGTTCACTGTGCGTCTATGTTGAAGTCAAGGCCATATATCCAACGAACGCGTGAATGTACATCCTGGAATCGGCTATCTAAAGTCGATTAATACCAATCAAAAAAAGCTATATACTTGAAAAAAAACGTTTAAAATGTTGAGTAAAGATGTACCTACAGAGGCATTTCAACTTTAGCTCAACAGGGACACTTAACGACTACAATTGAACCCTCTCACAGCCAGTGATCTTCACACCAATTCGGCAAGTAATCCGATAACATTACAAACCACCATTGTGCACGTAATTAAACTCTCACAAAAACTGTAAAACTAAAATGGTCAAAATTACACACAAAAGTACTCGAAACGGCTTAATAGGTATAACCACATAATGTAATATTTTTTCAGTCACCCCGAGCTCTCTGGTTGACTCTCGAGCCACTCCATTACATCCAGCCATCTCTCGGGATCCAACTGCAAGGTGGAAACTTCTTCAGGACTCATTGCAGCACCTTGAATTTCAGCTTTTGATTTCAGTTTCCTATCATTGTGGACCTTCTGATGCCTATTCCTGGTTGATGAGTGTGCAAATTTCTTCCCACACACAGAGCACAGGAATGGCTTCTCGCCCGTGTGTGTTCTCTTATGATCTTTAAGAGTTGATGAGTGTGCAAATGCCTTCCCACACACAGGGCACAGGAATGGCTTCTCGCCCGTGTGTGTTCTCTGATGAGTTTGAAGAGTTGATGAGTCTGCAAATGTCTTCCCACACACAGGGCACAGGAATGGCTTCTCGCCCGTGTGCGTTCTCTGATGAGTTTGAAGAGTTGTCGATTGTGCAAATGTCTTCCCGCACACAGGGCACAGGAATGGCTTCTCGCCCGTGTGTGTTCTCTGGTGTCTCTGAAGATCTGATGGCCATGAAAAGGACTTCCCACACACAGAGCAATTGAATGGCTTCTTGTCTCCGTGTGCGTGTGGCTGTGGAGAGCGTCTCTGCTCCATGTGAGCGTAGTAACAGCAGCGGTGTTATCGAGTTAAAAGTACGCTATCGGCCGCAAGGATGTTTAGCGTTGAGTTTTGGATTTTGTTAACTGCTATAACAAGAACGACACTCGCGTCTAACCGAGACGCAAAAAAAATCCCATAAATTTGACGACGAACACGTTTAAGAGTTTATCCGCGAAAATAGACACTTACTTGGAGATTCACGGTAGATCGATGTCTTGAACCCGTCTGAAGATGTCGCCACGAACTTTCCCGACGCAAAGTCGCCTAACTGTCGACACAGCAATTGTGCTCGCCAGGCTGCGTTGTCTCGCGGTTGAAGGGCGTTCAGCAGAGCGACGAGTCGAGCGTCCAATCTCATCAAGTTCCCTCTCGAAATGGCATTGAGCTCTGCTTCTGAGCCGCCTTATAACTCCCCCCCTAGGATCAAATCCTTTGTCTTTCAGGATATTTGCATTCGATTGTTAATTTTGGAAGGTACAATCCGCATGTCTATTAACAAACCGAAGGGTAATGTGCCCATTGTGCTTCATGCATGAATATGTAAGTGCATCTCAGTGTGTAATTGTGCGCTTATTTTGAATAAATGGAAAAACTTTTTCCTCGATTTAAAGTGAATGCAGAGAAATTAGCATGTAACTTTAGAAAAGGAAGAGAGCGGCCTTCTCGACGAGGGAGTGAAACCCAATAGGTAATATTCTTTTACAGCGTTACAATGGATAGGTTGTAGTTCATAGGTTATAATATTATGTTTCACTATGATAGAGCTTAACATGTGAGAGTATACAATATCAGAGTTGATCAAATGCGACGATCAAGGGCGTCAATCAGGGTGAGTTTGATCAGAGGCTTTAATCAAAGGCGTCATCCCATCACGGAACACCACCTCCCTGCGTTTATTACAGCAACAGAAGCAACTACAGCAGCAACAACAGCAGCGACAACAACAGTAGCAACATCACATTTCGAGGGCGACGCAGCTACTTCCGATTCTGCTGCCCAGCTTTTTGTAGTCGGGACCTGCTCTCGCAGGACCCCACACGTCTTTGGAAATGATTGCGATGATCATGTCTGAGCTGATAATTAAGTCACTCAAGATTACTTTGTTTAACCATAACTTTAGGTAGGTTAGTGTCATAAGGGCTCTGTGAATACTACTCATGAATGAAATCACACTCCTGTATGACCGACATTGTAATAATTTTGGTTGATCGAGTAGAACAAGTCACATGACATGTCCAGACGAATTATTATCAACAACAATGTCCTTAAATATGATGCTAAAATAAATGTTAACACTGGATTAAACGTGTACCTCTTAACCCCTCCCTCGCATTTACGACTGACGATTTGCATTTGCACGTAACATACATTCAAGCACAGTGAAATGCTAATACGACAATATTGTTATTCTAAAATGTGAATGCGATTCTTGCCCTGTACCCCCCACAGTTCACATATCCGACCCCCGGTTCGATTTAACAGATAATTTACATACATATGTGTAGAGTGCGATTGTAATACTTCTAATGAGATTTAAATACCGTACCTCCGTTTATGGTGCTATAAATTATAAAAACAGTTGATATTTTTATTGTCGTTTAATGTTGAGTGTTATTGTTTATAGTGTTATCAGTTTACGTGTTTTTAAGTACAGGTGATTCCCGGTATACTTCGGTATTCTGGACCTGAACGTCGCGAAACGATTCATAACGAGGACCTTTCCCCACCAGAGCGCAAGCCGCTAATGAAAAGAACTCGGGCCGGCGGGAACACGTGCTTCCATGGTTGGTCGGGGACAGGGCATGGTTGTATTGCCTACAGATGCCACCGGGAAAATCCAAGTTGCTCCGCCCATGGCGGGGTCAGGTAGAGGTCATAGAGGTGGGTGATGTAAAGACAGTGCATCAACTAAGGGACAAGTGGTGACAACAAGATAAAGAGAGTTCGAGAAGGGAAGGCGAGACCAAGTGTGGGCGGAGGTTCACGCCGAGAATGAGAGAGGGGGAGGAACGAGGTTTGGGGCTGTGTTGGCTGGTTGCTGTCTCGTCGTCGTCGTTGCTATATCGTGACGCCTGGGGTCTGAAACCGCGTTAAAGGCTAAATAAAAGAACCCTCTGCAGTCTGAGTCCGGAGTCATTACAATTGTAACGATTCATTATTTCACGGGCTAATATTGCGTTTGTGCGATTATTTTACATACTCATACTGAATATTGCTATTTGATGCCATTGAGATGGAACATTCATCCAATAGTAGACAGCTTGATCCTAATACTACCAAAGTGTTATTCAAATAATTTTAATCCCATCCTGATCCTGCACCTTCCGTTTCACATATCCTACCATTGGTTCGCACGTCCATATTACATACATACATTTTACATGCATACATACTACATACAGATATATATCATGCATACATATTACATAGACACGAGCATAGTGTGAGTCTTAGAGAACCACGGTGTGAAGCTAAGAATTCGAAAGAGATTCGAATATCACACTTCAATGTACGGTGTTCTAATCTGTAACACTAGTTTATGATGTTATTTTATAGCATTATAATGTATCGCTCATAGCTTATATTGTTAGAGTTCACAACATTATAGGTTACTATAACACTAGTTTGTAATGTTATTTTAAAGCGTTACAATGTATAGCTCATAGTTTAAAGGTTATATTGTTAGAGTTTATAATGTTGAGTATACAATGTGAGTTTACAATTTGAGAGTTTGGGGACGTGCCCTGTTCTCGTGGGACCTGACTGCATAAAGCACGGATAAAACCTGACTTAAAACCCCCCGCCAAACCTCCTACGCATTTCACAAATAGTACTAGTCGATAACAACCGCTGCTGTTACTACGCTCACATGGAGCAGAGACGCTCTCCACAGCCCCACGCACACGAAGGCAAGAAGCAATTCAATTGCTCTGTGCGTGGGAATGCATTTGCAAGCTCATCACATCTTCAGAGTCACCAGAGAACACACACGGGCGAGAAGCCATTCCTGTGCCTTGTGTGTGGGAAGACATTTGCACACTCGTCACAACTTCAGAGTCACCAGAGAACACACACTGGTGAGAAGCCATTCCTGTGCCCTGTGTGTGGGAAGAAATTTGCAAACTCATCACATCTTCAGAGTCATCAGAAAACACACACGGGCGAGAAGCCATTCCTGTGCCCTGTGTGTGGGAAGACATTTGCACATTCATCACATCTTCAGAGTCACCAGAAAACACACACGGGCGAGAAGCCATTCCTGTGTTCTGTGTGTGGGAAGGCATTTGCACAATCGTTAACTCTTCAAACTCATCAGAGAACACACACGAGCGAGAAGCCATTCCTGTGCCCTGTGTGTGGGAAGACATTTGCACAGTCGTCAACTCTTCAAACTCATAAGAAAACACACACGGGCGAGAAGCCATTCCTGTGCACTGTGTGTGGGAAGTCATTTTCACAGTCATCAATAAGGAAATCATGGGGAATTATATTTTAACGCTTTGGTATTCCTAGAACGGAAATGGTTTGCATTGTACTGGAAATGTGTGAACATAGAACATAATACATATTCCCTTCGAGTTTTGACGTAAAAATGATTGCAGATGAATAAAAATGTATTTTAACAAATGTTTGTACGGTCTTTATTTTATAATGTTCCTAGCAATAACATGTTAAGATAATTTCAGGTGTAGGATCTCCGTCACACAAGTGTGCCCTTAACCGGCAGCATCTTGGCTGTCTACCCGATTAACACGTGTTCCTTGAGGGGAAAGGTCACCGTAGTTAATAGTTCATCAACGTACCAGTCGATAATCCCTAAGTATGTCGGGGATACACTGTACTCTATAACATGTAAACTGTAATACTATTATCGATAACACTAAACATTAAACGATTATAAACTAGTGTTTAATTTATAACCATTTAAACGGAGGTAAGGTATTATAATATCATTAGAAGCATTAGAATCACAGTGTGATCGTATAAGAATCACGCACAAACCCATTCTTAACTCATGAGATTATGAATCTTTACAATTTTATAACAATCACAAATTGTAACAAAGCGAAATTCCCACAAGCAAAACACCACGCTCACGTGACGAATTCTTAAACAAATTGCTACACTCAAGTGACAGAACTCAACAAAAAAACGCCGCAATAAAAAGAACAACATCAATAGACAAATCGTAAAAACAGACAACACACGCACGTTAGTAGCGGTTGGAAGACAACACCTAGCACCTTCAACTATACACATTATACAGCGAACTCGTAAATGGGGCGGTATATGACAGCCTTCGCTGCTGTCGACGGGGCCAAGCAGCGAGTGTTTAACGCCATTGTTTCAGAATCCGTGTCATCACCCGGTCACAGCGCCTTAGCCAAACTGCATCTCCCCAACAAGGCAGCCTTCCCTATGCTGTGTATTTTAGCAATATATTTACGGACGCACTTGAAGATAACAATTCGTCTAGAAAAGGCAGGCGACTTGTTGGCTGTTAGAAGAAGACAAACCCTAGCACCTTCAACTACACACATTGTACAGCCCCAAAGAACCAACTCGTAAATGTGGCGGTATTTGACAGCCTTCGAACTTCTTACTTTCGTTCTCGATTAATTAAGACATTCTTGGCAAGTACTATCGCTTTCGCTCGTAATTTGCCTCCTAATTATTGGCCTCAATTTTCGAGAACCAACAAAATAAATGCGAAGTCCTCAATTTTTCCAAGCTGCACAATTCACGGTTGCAGACTGCTTTGAACAGCCAAATGTTATCACAGTAAACAATTCGGACCACAGCAGGACACTCAATCTCGAGCATCTGCGAAGCAACGATATGAGAGGACTAAGACCTGCACGTTTATTCGAGTGTTGACGTTATTTTAGCAATATAGTTAAGTACATGTATATGATAAGAATTCGTAGACATGGCAGGTGTCTTGTTCTCCTTAATCAACCAAAATTATACCAAATTACGTCGTAAATATGTGAGCTAATTCTTCGGTGGTATTCGCTAAACACCGATGGCAATAACCTACACTAAGTTATGTTTAAACAAAGTAAACTTTAGTCGCTCAAATCTCAGCTCAGATAGGATCATCTCAATTATTTCCATAGACGTGTGGGGTCCCACGAGAGCAGAGTCGGCGTGCAAACAGCCGGGCGGCAGTTGGAGCAGAAGCAGAAGTCGCTGCTTTGTCATCGAACGGTTTCGTAGCTGCTGTAGTTGCTTCTGTTACTGTTATATAGGCAGCATGGTGGTGTCCCGTGATAGGATAGCGCCTTTGATGAAAAACTCTGATCCAACAAGTCACCTTCGTTGTCTAGACACATTCTAAACAAAACACTGTCCTTTAATATGTTGCTAAAATAACGTCTACACCCTATTCAACATGAAGCCATGAGCAACCCACATCACGCCCAGAGGCAGGAGACCACGAGGGAGACGGCCTCAACTTGAAGAGAAAGTTGACAAACTCACGGATGCCATCACCCAGCTGCTGCAACGCCAGTCGGATGAGACGCTGCGTCCCGCGGCACCAACCAGGCGAGTAAAAGAAGAGCTGAGCCAGAATCGGAAGCCGCCACCCGAACATCAACAGCAGTAGATAGCGTGATTCTAATAGGACCACGTTGTTATTATCATAATTTTAATGCGATTCTAAAATGCGCAACTCCCAGGTTGCATTTACGACTCCCGATGTGCATCTACATATAACATACATTCTAGCTCAGTGTAATTCTAATACGACCATAGTGTTATTCTAATCATTTTAATCCGATCCTAATCCCCCAGTTCGCATATCTGACCCCCGGTTCGCATGTCCAACGGACATACATATCACATACGAACGACCATAGTATGTATGTATGTAATATGCATACATATGTGCAGATTCTATTACGATCACATTGCGATTATAAAACTTCTAATGATATTCTAATATTGATTTTAAGCTTTTGTGACTGCAGGAATTAATACTCGTTGGTTCTTTCGGTAAAGTCACGTAGGTAGAAATAAAACAAAGTAAATCACGTATCGGACGAAACACAAGCGCCCGTTTTCAGGTGACAATCGCGATATCCGCGATGTCTGCTGCGAGCAGCACGATGTCTGCTGCAGACATCGTTTCGGGCGCTTGTGTTGCGTCCGAAACGTCGTGATTTATTTTGTTTCATTTCTTCCTACGTGACTTTACCGAAAGAACCAAAGAGTATAGATATTATAATAATGTCCCTCCGTTTACGGTCTTATAAATTATATAAAAAAAACTAGTTTATATTCGTTTAATGTTTAATGTTATCTTTAAAGCGTTACAGTTTACATGTTTTAGAGTACAAGTGATCTCCAGTATACTTCGGAATTAGGGAAAGGAACGTTGCTAAACTATTTATAACGGGGACCTCTCCCCTCTAGGAACACATGTTGATGGTGGAGACAGCCAAGACGTTGCCGGTTAAGGTCAGACTTGTGTTGCTGCAGTTGCTGCTGCTGCAGTTGCTGCTGCTGCAGTTGCTGCTGTTGCAGTTGCTGCTGCTGCAGTTGCTGCTGCTGCAGTTGCTGCTGCTGCAGTTGCTGCTGCTGCAGTTGCTGCTGCTGCTGTTGCTGCTGCTGCTGTTGCAGTTGCTTCTGTGTGGTAATGGATTTTAATAGCTATTCACAGTATATACACACATTTAAAGAGTATAACAATCACACAGTATAACAAATATACAATACACATGATTTAAAAACGTATTTTAACATTTCAATTCATTATCTTTTAAACTGAGAATGTCGTCGTTCATGTGGGGAGATGGAGCGCAGTGGATCGTATTGTCTAAGCTGCTTTTCGGAATCCGCGTGATAACCCAGTCACATCGCCTAACTCCAGTGACAGCACCTTACCCAAACTACATCTCCCCAACAAGGCAGCCTTACCGATTCTGTGCATTATGTTTATATAGTGTTATTCTAATAATTTGCATCAGATTCCTAATCCTGCACGCCCCAGTTCGCATATCCGACCCCCGGTTCGCAAGTCCAAATGGCATGCATACACATTACATACATACGAGCACAGTTCACATGCCCGTCCACTATTATACAAATGTAGAGAAGTTCCTAGGACGCACTCGGAGACGAATGTGAGGTTTAAGGGCTGTCGCCGAGGGTTTATTAAAGTTATTGACATACACCAGGTGTACCAACTTGCCAGGGGTGAGGGGTGCCGGGCTCGGTCCCACTGGTCCCCCCGACACAGTCGGCTGCCCCGTGCTGCCTCCTCTGCGCCGGCCGTGGGCTCAGCCAACACGGCCGGCCGAGGAGCGCAGCCACCTCCAGCCCTGGCGCTGCGCTCTTTCCTATCCCGACTCCCTTGCCCCTGGCACCCCGTTCCACCTGACTCCGAGCCCCGACTTCAGCACAGACCCCGATTACGACACGGGCTCTACTTTCTGCAAACCGCTAATGAAAAGAACACAAGGCGGTGTAAATACGTGCTTCCATTGGCGGTCGGGGACAGGGCATGCTTGTTTGCCCACAGGTGCCACCGGGTATATCCCGTTGTTGCTCAGTCAATGCAAGGTACGGTAAAAGTCATAGAGGAGAAATGGCTGCAGTGTGTAACGAATGTATTTAGGAAGTCGCCGTTGGTTCATCCACCCATTCCGCCTCAAGACTTATGTCCGTCCCCACCCAGACAGCTCATCCCCATGTCCTGTACAGCCCAAGTCTGGTGTGTCCGACGTGGTGGGGCGCTCGGCAACGGAAACCGTACGCCAAAAGGAAATGTGTTGTGGCGCCCACAGTTTCCGAGCCCCAGAGGCCCAGGGTGCCTCTAGGATCTGCCACATGCGAGGAACCGGTGCCTGGAGCCTGGTCATATTCTCCAAAAAAAGCCAGGGACCTGCCTAATCCTTCAAGGCTGTGGTGCGAACCCTTGACGCCCCGACCATGGGCGTGGGACCGGCGGCGAGAACCAGTTCAAAATGCGCAAGGTTGGGCTTTTAGGCTCCACGCCCAATATCAATGCTGTATATTGCTATTCGGTGCCATTGCGATGGAACATTCTACCAGCAGTGGGCAGCTTGATTCTAATACGACCATGGTGCGATTTTAATAATTTTGATGCGATTCTAAATCTGGTACCACCCAGGCCGCATTAACGACTCCCGATGTGCATCTACATTTAAAATACATTCTAGCTCAGTGTAATTCTAATACTACCAAAGTGATATTCTAATAATTTTAATCCGATCATAATCCTGCACCCCCCATTTCGCATATCCGACCACCGGTTCGCATGTCCAAAGGCCATAGATGCATATTACATACGTACATACGAGCACAGTTCACTTGCACGTACGCTATACATACATATGCGCAGAGTGTGATTTTAATACGATCACGTTGAAATTCTACTGCTTGTAATGAGATTATAATACCGTACCTCTGTTTTTGGTGTTATAAATGATTAAACTAGTTTATAGTATTTTAATGTGTTATCGTTCATAGTGTTACAGTTCACATGTCATAGCGTACAGGATTCCCTGTATACTTGATGGTTAGGGACCGTAACGTTGTGAATCGATTAATAATGGGGACCCCTCCCCTCCAGGAACACATGTTAGTGGGGAGACAGCCAAGATGCTGCCGGTTAAGGGCAGATTTGTGTGACGAAGATCCTCCACCTGAAACTCGCTTAAAACACGTTGTTGATATGAATAAATGAACGGACACACATTTGTTAAAAAAAACGTTTTTATTCATCTGCAATCAAGTCAAAACTCGAACCGAATGTATTATGTCCTATGTTCAAACAGTTACAATACAATGCAAACCATATCCGTTCCAGGAATACCAACGCGTTAAAGTATCATTCCCCATTATTTCCTTATTAGTTCACCACATTTGTTCACTGTGCGTCTATGTTGAAGTCAAGGCCATATATCCAACGAACGCGTCATCAATGTACATCCTGAAATCGGCTATCTTAAGTCGATTAATACCAACCAAAAAAATCTATATGCTTGAAAAAACCCGTTTAAAATGTTGAGAAAAGATCTAACTAAAGATGCATTCCAACTTTAGCTCAACAGGAAGACTTAAACACTACAATATTGTCCGGAATTGAATTATATCACAACCACTGCTCATCACGCCACTTCGGCAAGTAATCCGATAACATTACAAACCACCATTGTGCACGTCATTAAACTCTCACAAAAACTGTAAGTCATCCCTGACTCTCGGTTTGATCGTCGAGCCACTCCATTACATCCAGCCATCTCTCGGGATCCAACTGCATGGGATCGAGGGTGGAAAATTCTTCAGGACTCAATGCAGCACCTTGAACTTCAGCTTTTGATTTCAGTTTCCAATCATTGTGGACCTTCTGATGCGTGCTAAGATTTGACGACTGTGAAAATGCCTTCCCACACACAGGGCACAGGAATGGCTTCTCGCCCGTGTGTGTTCTCTGATGGTTTTGAAGAGTTGATGATTGTGCAAATGCCTTCCCACACACAGGGCACAGGAATGGCTTCTCGCCCGTGTGCGTTCTCTGATGAGTTTGAAGAGTTGATGACCGTGCAAATGCCTTCCCACACACAGGGCACAGGAATGGCTTCTCGCCCGTGTGCGTTCTCTGATGAGTTTGAAGAGTTGACGATTGTGCAAATGCCTTCCCACACACAGGGCACAGGAACGGCTTCTTGCCCGTGTGTGTTCTCTGGTGTCTCTGAAGATCTGATGGCCATGAAAATGACTTCCCACACACAGAGCAATTGAATGGCTTCTTGTCTCCGTGTGCGTGGGGGTGTGGAGAGCGTCTCTGCTCCATGTGAGCGTAGTAACAGTAGCGGTGTTATCGAGTCAAAAGTACGCTATCGGCCGCAAGGATGTTTAGCGTTGAGTTTTGGATTTTGTTAACTGCTAAAACAAGAACGACACTCGCGTCTAACCGAGACGCAAAAAAAATCCCATAAATTTGACGACGAACACGTTTAAGAGTTTATCCGCGAAAATAGACACTTACTTGGAGATTCACGGTATATCGATGTCTTGAACCCGTCTGAAGATATCGCCACGAACTCTCCCGACGCAAAGTCGCCTAACTGTCGACACAGCAATTGTGCTCGCCAGGCTGCGTTGTCTCGCGGTTGAAGGGCGATCAGCAGAGCGACGAGTCGAGCGTCCAACCTCAACAAGTTCCCTCTCGAAATGGCATTGAGCTCTGCTTCTGAGCCGCCTCATAACTCCCCCCTCGGATCCAATCCTTTGTCTTTCAGGATATTGCATTCGATTGTTAATTTTGGAAAGTACAATCCGCATGTCTATTAACATACCGAAGGGTAATGTGCCAATTGTGCTTCATGCATGAATATGTAAGTGCATCTCAGTGTGTAATTGTGCGCTTATTTTGAATAAATGGGATTAGCGCTGGAAAAAAACGTTCCCCATGCCCTCCATTGTCCTCGATTTAAAGTGAATGCAGCCCCGTGGCGTTGCCAAAAACCGCCGAGCTTCGGGAGTGAGCACGTACAGACGCGTAGTGACCACACTTGCAATACAACCACTCTAACATCAGTAACCAAAATCCGATCTGGTACATGGTCTCCGCTTGGTCTGGTTTGTATCCGTCATAACTCCGGAGACAAACAGCGAGGCATGGTTTGGCCAGCCACCAACTCGTTTGCTGCAGCGACTTTAATAGCTGCTCTCAAACAACACTATCACCAATGGTGGTTTATAGGCTAGGCTGTTAAGTGGATAATCAGTCTTTTTGGGCAAGGTGTATGGGATAATACACACCTCTGTTATCCCATAAACACAATACACAGCATCGGGAAGGCTGCCTTGTTGGGGAGATGTAGTTTGGGTAAGGTGCTGCAACTGGAGTTAGGCGATGTGACTGGGTTATCACACGGATTCCTAAAAGCAGCTTAGACGATACGATCCACTGCGCTCCATCTCCCCACATGGACAACAACATTCTCAGTTTAAAAAAAATGAATAGAAATGTTTAAATACGTTTTTTAAATCATGTGTATTGTATAATGTTATAATGTGTGATTGTATACTCTTTAAATGTGTGTATATACTGAAAATAGCTAATCAATTCCATTGATACCACACATTCATCCAACAGTGGACAGTGTGATTCTAATACGACGAGTGGGATTCGAATAATTGTAATTCGATTCTAATCCTGCATATCCTACCCCCAGTTGTCATATTAACTTACCATACGTACAACCACAGTGTGATTCTAATTAGCTCAGTGCGAGTCTAATGATTAGTATGCGATTATAATCCCACACCTCCAATTATGTGGTTCTGCACTGTAACAGTTAATCGTATTTTAAAGCGTAACAATGGATAGGTTGTAGTTCATAGGTTATAATATTATATTTCACTATGTTAGAGTTTAACATGTGTAGTAAGTATATGGAGGCTTGACGACAGGATCGGAGGCACACTTATTTATTACACCAACACAGTTATTTACAGGTCACTGGGCTACAGGGATTTCTCGACAGCTAACCCCTCTAACCTATACCAATTCCTCCACTACGGGACTAGGGGAGGCTATCTGTCCCAGCTTGGTTAAGCTGGGATCCCGGCTCCCTGAGTCACCAGACCAGCTTCGTCTGGGCTCTCGGGGCCACGCCACCGGCTTGCCCTGGTCGGCCCTTATAAGGACAGCGAGCCAGGGGAGCTCTGGGGCCTACACTAGCTGGTCTTCCGTCTTCTCTGGTTATAGCTGAGTCCCCACTCCCGAGCCTTTCGGCTCATCACCTTTTATAGGACTTGCCCCCAAGGGGGGGGCCCGTGGGGGATACACATGCGGACGTCGGTGCGAGCGCCACCCTTGTGTACGGCCGTAACCCCGCCAAGGCATCGAGCGACTCATCCATTCGAGGAAGCGGGTACGCATCTGCCACAGAGATTTTGTTCAGACGCCGAAAGTCGACACAAAACCGCAGTGAGCCGTCGTGTTTTTTCACCAAAACGATCGGCGCGCCCCACGGGCTATTGGAAGGGGAAATGATATCGGCGGCTAGCATGTCATCAACAGACGATTTGACATGATCCTTTTCGGCGGGACTCAACCGAAAGGGATTTTGGCGGATTGGCGCGCTGTCACCCGTGTCAATATGGTGTCGCAGCAATTTAGTACAACCAATATCAAATTTGTGTTGACTAAAAACGTCAGCAAATTCGCTCAGAAGAACTCGCAGCTGCGCGCGCTGCGAGTCGGACAGGTCCACTGAACCCGCGCAAAGCGCATCCAGCCAACCGTCATCACAGTCCGAATGCGGTCGCGACGGAGGATCGGTGGATACCTGACCCACGAGTGGTTCCTCATAGGGTACCGGCGTTGCGTGTGCAAGCACGGTCCCTTGAGGAACCACGGCCGTTCGCGATCCCACATTAAGGACTGCAATGAAGGGGTCCCCATCCCCTCTCACCATGGTCTGAGCCGCGAGCAAATCTGGTCCATTTACCCCGGCCCGAGATGGTCCCAACAAGACCCCCCGATCCGCAACCCCTTCATTAAACGGCCGACGCAATCTAAGAGGGACGAGCATCTGAGCCCCCGGAGGCACGCGCACAGTTTTTGTGACGAGCGCCTGCACGGTGGCAAACGCCCGACGCTCCGTGGTGGGGGAAGACAGAAATGTAACGCGTCGGCCCGATGGGAGCTCAATGCACCCTTGGTCAATAAGGATGCGGATGGGCATTTTGGCCAGAAAATCCGTCCCCAACAGGCACGGAACCGCGAGTGAGGAGGAAACCAAAACAGGCCCGGATAATTTAATGTCCCCAATGCAGATAGTGGCGCGGATTTGGCCAATAATGCCCAGAGAGCCCCCGTTAGCGGCATAGCACGGCACGTCAACAGGGAGCAAGGGACGACTTTGAACGGGAAGGATGTTATAAATTAAATCAGATATAATGGTCGCCGATGCCCCTGTGTCAATTAAAATCCGCACCTCTACCCCATCAATGTGACCGACCACGACCGATGATCCCGCCGACGCAGCAACGACACGATGGGCGAGCTCCGACCACTGACCCGGTTGGAGCGCCCGCCGCATTACCGAACGATCGCGCGCGACGGATGGGGAATTTGGAGCCCTGTTTAGTTGGGCGCGTGAGTGTGTGTCGGATGTGTGCGTGGGCCAAACGTGTGAGGTGCCGCGACTCGCCGTATTTCTCTGCTGGAGCTTGGGAGGAGACGGCGTGGCGTCCTGACGAGGTGTCGCCCCGCGCTGACGGGGAGCCCGGCATCCTGACGCAACGTGGCCTTGCAGGCCACAGTTGTAGCAGCGTGTGAGCGCCCCCGATGTCCTGGGCTGCTCCTGGCGGCTCGGTCCATTCCGAGCCTGTGGTACTGCCGCTCTCCATTCCCCTCGCCGCTCCACCCCGCAGACCTCCTCCAATGGGAGGGCGTTAGCCGCCATGGCATGGCTGGCCGCCCCCTTTGCCGCCTTTCGACGAAGGGACCGCAAGCCCCCGTGGATGTGGCGCGCGACCAGCAGGGACGACATCTCTGAGTCGTCTTGAGCCAGGACGTTGACGTCCAGCTCATCAGCGAGTAGCAGCAGCTTCTCAGCCACCATGGCATCCACTCCTTCCTCGTCCATCCTTGGGAAAGCAGCCTTCGCTAGAGCCAGGAGAGCAGTCCGGAAGGCCAGAGGTGATTCGTTGGTGCCCCGACGCCGATCGTGGAAAAGCTGCCTGCAGTCCGAAGGCGGCCCATAGACGGCTGACAGCAGCTGCAACGCCAGGTGTAGGGTGGCGCGCTTTTCCCTCGGCGCCGAGGTGAGGGTAGCCAGGGCGTCGTTGTCCAGCATCGCTGGCAGCGCGCGTAGAGCCTCGGCGTCCGTCCAGTTCGCCATCTCCTGATGAGCGATGAACCGTCTCTTGAAGCCGCCCCAGTCTCCGTCTGCGCCTACGAATTCTTTCAGAGGTGGCAGACGCTGCTGCAAGGCGACGTCCGTGGCTGTAGATCGCTCTCCGTCGCTCCCCGCCGATGATACAGTGTGGGCGGGCTGTGCACATGGCATCGCCGGTCGCTCCGATGTTGACGCGCCGGCCGGTGTTGATGATGTCACGGCTTGTGCTTGGCGCTCAGCAGTCACGTGACGCGGGCCGGCCCCGCCGTCCGCTCGCACTGTAGAGATGGCGGGAAATTTAACCACCAGCCGCGTCGGGGTGGCGGGAAACGTTGCCGCGCGCCGGCTGCTGTCGTCGACCCGCGCTGCCCCTCCAGCCCCCAGCCGCGTGATCTCCTCCAACGCAGCGGCGGCGGCGTAGAGCAGTTCCGCCAGGCGGGAGTGGGCCAGCCGGAGTCCTTCAGCCGACGCATCCGTCTTCTCTTGTCGTAGCGGCACGGGCGTACTTGGCCCCGGCTGCTCCGATCCGACCCCGGCCATCTCTGGTGTTGAATCGGCCGCGGCGTCTTCCATCTCCGACTCCTTGGTACGTGTCGTCCCTCGTGTGTCCATCGTTTGGACGTTTTACTTCTGACACCAGATGTAGTAAGTATATGGAGGCTTGACGACAGGATCGGAGGCACACTTATTTATTACACCAACACAGTTATTTACAGGTCACTGGGCTACAGGGATTTCTCGACAGCTAACCCCTCTAACCTATACCAATTCCTCCACTACGGGACTAGGGGAGGCTATCTGTCCCAGCTTGGTTAAGCTGGGATCCCGGCTCCCTGAGTCACCAGACCAGCTTCGTCTGGGCTCTCGGGGCCACGCCACCGGCTTGCCCTGTCGGCCCTTATAAGGACAGCGAGCCAGGGGAGCTCTGGGGCCTACACTAGCTGGTCTTCCGTCTTCTCTGGTTATAGCTGAGTCCCCACTCCCGAGCCTTTCGGCTCATCACCTTTTATAGGACTTGCCCCCAAGGGGGGGGCCCGTGGGGGATACACATGCGGACGTCGGTGCGAGCGCCACCCTTGTGTACGGCCGTAACCCCGCCCCTTGTGTTTGTTGGCCATCCGTGGCCATGCATAATCACACCTCAACATTCGTAGACATGCGCAATTACACCTCTACACATGTGAGAGTTTACAATGTCAGAGTTGATCAAGAGCGTCAATCTTGATCGACGCAGAAGCAAATGCAGCAGCAGCAACATCACATTTCTAGGGCGACGCAGCTACTTCTGATTCTGCTGCTTCCGCTGCTCAGATATTTGTTGCCAGGCCCTGCTCTCGCGGGACCCCACACGTCTTTGTAAATGATTGAGATGATGTCTGAGCTGATAATTAATTTAATAAAGAATACTTTGTTTGGGTGTAGGTCTGTGTCATCGGGGATCAGCGAACACTGCTTATGAATGAACTCGCACACCTTTATGACCGACATTGTACTAATGTTGGTTGATCGAGACGAACAAGGCACGTGCCATGTCCAGACGAATTGATATTAACAATATTGTCCTTAAATATAATGCTAACACTGGATTAACGTTAACACTGGATTAAACATGCACATTTTAAACCCTGCCTAGCATTTATGACTAACTATTCGCATTTGCACATAACATATATTCAAGCACAGTAAAATGCGCATACGAACATATTGTTACTAGAATAAATGTAATGCGATTCTAACCCTGCAAACCCTCACAGTTCGCATATCCGTGCCCCGATTCGATTGAACCTACACTTTACATACATATGAGCGATAAAAATGCTTCTAATGACATTCTCATACCGTAACTCCGTTTATGGTGGAATCTATTATAAAAAAAAATTAAAGTCGTTGAATGTTTAGTGTTATTGTTCATAGTGTTATCAGTTTACATGTTGTAGAGTACAGGTGATCCCCCGTATACTTCGGGTTTCGGGACCAGAACGTTGTGAAACGATTTACAACGAGGAACTTTCACCGCCAGAGCGCAAGCCGCTAATGAAAAGAACACGGGGCGGCGGGAACACGTGCTTCCATGGGCGGTCGTAGACAGGTTGTATTGCCCAAAGGTGACACCGGGTACGTCCACCAAGTTGCTCCGCCCACGGCGGCGACAGGTAGAAGTCATAGAGGTGAAATGGCCGCAGTGTGTACGCATGTAGTTATGTCCGTCCACACCCAGACAGCTCATCCCCATGTCCTGTACAGCCCAAGTCTGGTGTGTCCGACGTGGTGGGGCACTCGGCAAGGGGAACCGTACTCTAAATGAAATGTGTTGTGGCGCCCACAGTTTCCGAGCCCCTGAGGCCCGGGGTGCCTCAAGGATCCGCCACGTGCGAGGAACCGGTGCCTGGAGCCTGGTCAAATTCTTCAAAAGAAGCCAGGGACCTGCCTAATCCTTCAAGGCTGTGGTGCGAACCCTTGACGCCCCGACATGCACAACATTCTACCATGGGCGCGGGACGGGCGTCGAGAACCAGGTCAAAATGCGCAAGGTTGCGCTTGTAGGCTCCACGCCCAATATCAATGCTGTATATTGCTATTCGGTGCCATTGAGATGGAACATTCTACCAGCAGTGGGCAGCTTGAATACGACCATGGTGCGATTTTAATAATTTTGATGCGATTCTAAATCTGGCACCACCCAGGTCGCATTTACGACTCCCGATGTGCATCTACATATAACATACATTCTAGCTCAGTGTAATTCTAATACTACCAAAGTGATATTCTAATCATTTTAATCCGATCATAATCCTGCACCCCCCAAATCGCATATTCGACCACCGGTTCGCATGTCCAAAGGCCATAGATGCATATTCATTGGTTCATACGAGCACAGTTCGCTTGCACGTACACTATACATACATATGCGCAGAGTGTGATTCTAATACGATCACATTGTAATTCTAATTCTTGAAATGAGATTATGATACCGTACCTCTGTTTTTGGTGTTATAAATGATGAAACTAGTTTATAGTATTTAAATGTTTCGTGTTATCGTTTATAGTGTTACAGTTCACATGTCTTAGCGTACAGGATTCCCTGTGTACTTGATGATTAGGGACCGTAACGTTGTGAATCGATAAATAATGGGGCCCTTTCCCCTCCAGGAACACATGTTAATGGTGAGACTGCCGGTTAAGGGCAGATTTGTGTGACGAAGATCCTCCACCTGAAACTCGCTTAAAACACGTTGTTGATATGAATAAATAAACGGACACACATTTGTTAAAAAAAACTTTTTTATTCATCTGCAATCATTTTTAAGTCAAAACTCGAACCGAATGTATTATGTCCAATGTTCAAACAGTTACAATACAATGCAAACCATATCCGTTCCAGGAATACCAACGCGTTAAAGTATCATTCCCCATGATTTCCTTATTAGTTCACCACATTTGTTCACTGTGCGTCTATGTTGAAGTCAAGGCCATATATCCAACGAACGCGTCATCAATGTACATCCTTAAATCGGTTATCTAAAGTCGATTAATACCAACCAAAAAAGCTATATGCTTGAAAAAACCCGTTTAAAATGTTGATAAAAGATCTAACTAAAAATGCATTCCAACTTTAGCTCAACAGGAAGACTTAAACACTACAATATTGTCCGGAATTGAATCATATCACAACCACTGCTCATCACGCCACTTCGGCAAGTAATCCGATAACATTACAAACCACCATTGTACACGTCATTAAACTCTCACAAAAACTGTAATGTTTAGTGTTATCGTGTATAGTATTACAGTTTACATGTTATAGAGTACAGTTTATCCCCGACATACTTCGGGATTTGGGACTGGTACGTTGATGAACGATTAACTACGGGGACCTTTCCCCTGAAGGAACACGTGTTAATCGGGTAGACAGCCAAGATGCTGCCGGTTAAGGGCACACTTGTGTGATGGAGATCCTCCACCTGAAATTCTCTGAACATGTTTTTGCTAGGAACATTATACAATAAAGAACTGACAAACATTTGTTAAAATACGTTTTTATTCATCTGCAATAATTTTACGTCAAAACTCGAAGGCAATATTTATTACGTCCTATGTTCACACATTTCCAGTAGAATGCAAACCATTTCCGTACAGGAATACCAAAGCGTTAAAGTTTCATTCCCCATGATTTCCTTATTAGTTCACCACATTTGTTCACTCTGCGTCTATGTTGAAGTCAAGGCCATATATACAACGAACGCGTCATCAATGTACATCCTGAAATCGACTATCTAAAGTCGATTATTACCAACCAAAAAAAACTTTATACTTGAAAAAAAACCTTTTAAAATGTTGAGTAAAGATCTAACTACAGACGCATTCCAACTTTAGCTCAACAGGAACACTTAACGACTACAATTGAACCCTCTCACAACCAGTGCTCATCACACCACTTCGGCAAGTAATCCGATAACATTACAAACCACCACTGGGCACGCCAATAAACTCTCACAAAAACTGTAAAACTAAAATGGTCAAAATTACACACAAAAGTACTCGATACGGCTTAATAGATATAACCACATGACGTAATATTTGTTCAGTCACCCCGAGCTCTCTGGTTGACTCTCGAGCCACTCCATTACATCCAGCCATCTCTCGGGATCCAACTGCATGGGATCGAAGGTGGAAACTTCTTCAGGACTCATTGCAGCACCTTGAATTTCAGCTTTTGATTTCAGTTTCCTATCATTGTGGACCTGCTGATGCCTGCTCATGGTTGATGACCGTGCAAATGCCTCCCCACACACAGGGCACAGGAATGGCTTCTCGCCCGTGTGTGTTCTCTGATGACTCTGAAGATGTGATGACTGTGCAAATGTCTTCCCACACACAGGGCACAGGAATGGCTTGTCGCCCGTGTGTGTTTTCTGATGACTCTGAAGATGTGATGACCTTGCAAATTTCTTACCACACACAGGGCACAGGAATGGCTTCTCGCCCGTGTGTGTTCTCTGATGATTCTGAAGATGTGATGAGTTTGCAAATTTCTTCCCACACACAGGGCACAGGAATGGCTTCTCGCCCGTGTGTGTTCTCTGATGACTCTGAAGATGTGATGACTGTGCAAATGTCTTCCCACACACAGGGCACAGGAATGGCTTCTCGCCCGTGTGTGTTCTCTGATGACTCTGAAGATTTGATGAGTTTGCAAATTTCTTCCCACACACAGGGCACAGGAATGGCTTCTGGCCCGTGTGTGTTCTCTGATGACTCTGAAGATGTGATGAGTTTGCAAATTTCTTCCCACACACAGGGCACAGGAATGGCTTTTCGCCCGTGTGTTTTCTTTGATGAATATGAAGATGTGATGACTGAGCAAATGTCTTCCCACACACAGAGCACAGGAACGGCTTCTCGCCAGTGTGTGTCCTCTTGTGTATTTTAAGACGTGATGGCCGTGAAAATGTCTTCCTACACACAGAGCAATTAAATGACTCCTTGCGCCCGTGTGCATGAGGCTGTGGAGTGCGTATCTTGTCCATGTGAGTGTAGTAACAGTAGTGGTGTTGTCAAAAGTACGCTATCGGCCGCAACGATGTTTAGCGTTGACTTTTGGATTTTGTTAACTACTAAAACAAGAACGACACGTGTTTAACCGATGAACATCAAAATCACGTCAATTTGACGACGAACAGGTTTAAGAGTTCATCCGCGAAAATAGACACTTACTTGGAGATTCACGGTATATCGATGTCTGGAACCCGTCTGAAGATGTCGCCACAAACTCTGCCGACGCAAAGTCGCCTAACTGTCGACACAGCAATTGTGCTCGCCAGGCTGCGTTGTCTCGCGGTTGAAGGGCGATCAGCAGAGCGACGAGTCGAGCGTCCAACCTCATCAAGTTCCCTCTCGAAATGGCATTGAGCTCTGCTTCTGAGCCGCCTTATAACTCCCCCGCTAGGATCCAATCCTTTGTTTTTCAGGATATTTGCATTCGATTGTTAATTTTGGAAGGTACAATCCGCATGTCTATTAACATACCGAAGGGTAATGTGCCCATTGTGCTTCATGCATGAATATGTAAGTGCATCTCAGTGTGTAATTGTGCGCTTATTTTGAATAAATGGAAAAACGTTGTCTTCGATTTAAAGTGAATGCAGAGAAATTAGCATGTAACTTTAGAAAAGGAAGAGAGCGGCCTTCTCGACGAGGGAGTGAAACCCAATAGGTAATATTCTTTTACAGCGTTACAATGGTTGTAGTTCATAGGTTATAATATTACGTTTCACTATGTTAGAGCTTAACATGTGAGAGTTTAGAATATCAGATCAAATACGACGATCAAGGGCATCAATCGGGTGAGTTTGATCAGAGGCTTTAATCAAAGGCGTCATCCCATCACGGAACATCACCTCCCTGCGTATATCACAGCAACAGAAGCAACTACAGCAGCAACAACAGCAGCGACAACAACAGCAGCAACATCACATGTCGAGGGCGACGCAGCTACTTCCGATTCTGCTGCCCAGCTGTTTGTAGTCGGGACCTGCTCTCGCAGGACCCCACACGTCTTTGGAAATGATTGCGATGATCATGTCTGAGCTGAGAATTAAGTCACTCAAAATTACTTTGTTTAACCATAACTTTAGGTAGGTTAGTGTCATCGGGGCTCTGTGAATACTAATCATGAATGAAATCACACTCCTTTATGACCGACATTGTACTAATTTTGGTTGATCGAGTAGAACAAGGCACGTGCCACGTCCAGACGAATTCTTATCAACCACAGTGTCCTTAAATATGATGCTAAAATAAATGGTAACACTGGATTAAACGTGCACATCTTAACCCCTCCCTCGCATTTACGACTAACGATTTGCATTTTCACATAACATACATTTAAGCACAGTAAAATGCTAATACGACAATATTGTTATTCTAAAATTTAAATGCGATTCTTGCCCTGTACCCCCCACAGTTCACATATCCGACACCCGGTTCGATTGAACAGATAATTTACATAAATATGTGTAGAGTGCGATTTTAATACTTCTAATGAGATTTAAATACCGTACCTGCGTTTATGGTGGTATAAATAATAAAACCAGTTGGTAGGTTTTTTTGTCGTTTAATGTTTAGTGTTATTGTTTATAGTGTTATCAGTTTACATGTTTTTTTTTTGTACAGGTGATTCCCGGTGTACTTCGGTATTCTGGACCTGAACGTTGCGAAACGATTCATAACGAGGACCTTTCCCCACCAGAGCGCAATCCGCTAATGAAAATAACTCGGGGCAGCGTGAACACGTGCTTCCATGGGCAGTGGGGGACAGGGCATGGTTGTATTGCCTACAGGTGCCACCGGGAAAATCCAAGTTGCTCCGCCCATGGCGGGGACAGGTAGAGGTCATAGAGGTGGGTGATGTAAAGACAATGCGTCAACTAAGGGACAAGTGGTGACAACAAGATAGAGAGAGTTCGAGAAGGGAAGGCGGGACCAAGTGTGGGCGGAGGTTCACGCCGAGAATGAGAGAGGGGGAGGAACGAGGTTTGGGGCTGTGTTGGCTGGTTGCTGTCTCGTCGTCGTCGTTGCTATATCGTGACGCCTGGGGTCTAAAACCGCGTTAAAGGCTCATGGTGGAATCTTGTGCCTTTCGGGGCGTCAAGGGTTCGCACCACAGCCTTGAAGGGTTAGGCAGGTCCCTGGCTTCTTTTGAGAAACATGACTGGGCTCCAGGCACCGATTCCTCACACGCGGGAGATCATTGAAGCACCCCGGGCCTCAGGGGCTAGGAAACTGTGAGCGCCACAACACATTTCCTTTGGAGTACGGTTTCCGTTGCCGAGAGCCCCACCACGTCGGACACACCAGACTTGGGCTGTACAGGACATGGGGATGAGCTGTCTGGGTGGGGACGGACATAAGTCTTGAGGCGCGATGGGTGGACGAACCAACGGCGACGCCCTATCTACATTCGTTACACACTGCAGCCATTTCACCTCTATGACTTCTACTTTACCTTGCAATTGACTGAGCAACTTGGGGATATACCCGGTGGCACCTGTGGGCAAACAACCATGCCCTGTCCCCGACCGCCCATGGAAGCACGTGTATCCACCGCCCCGTGTTATTTTCATTAGCGGCTTACAGAAAGTAGAGCCCGTGTCGTCATCGGGGTCTGTGCTGAAGTCGGGGCTCGGAGTCAGGTTGCACGGGGAGCCAGGGGCAAGGGAGTCGGGATAGGAAAGAGCGCAGCGCCAGGGCTGGAGGTGGCTGCGCTCCTCGGCCGGCCGTGTTGGCTGAGCCCACGGCCGGCGCAGAGGAGGCAGCACGGAGCAGCCGACTGTGTCGGGGGGACCAGTAGGACCGAGCCCGGGACCCCTCACCCCTGGAAAGTTGGTACACCTGGTGTATGTCAATAACTTTAATAAACTCTCGGCGAAAGCCCTTACACCTCACATTCGTCTCCGAGTGCGTCCTGGGAACTTCTCTACATATGTATAATAGTGTACGGGCATGTGAACTGTGCTCGTATGTATGTAATGTGTATGCATGCCATTTGTACTTGCGAACCGGGGGGGTCGGATATGCTAACTGGGGCGTGCAGGATTAGGAATCGGATTAAAATTACTAGAATAACACTATGGTAGTATTAGAATTACACTGAGCTAGAGTGTATGTTATATGCAAATGCGCATTGGGAGTCGAAAATGCAAACTGGGAGGTGCTCGGTTGTTTAGAATATCAAAATGAGTATAATCGATTCGGGCTCTGCTCTTCCTTTCTTCGCCTGGATGGTGCCGCGGGATGCAGCATCTCTGCAGGTGATGCTGCTGCAGTCGCTGCTGCTGCTGTTGTTGCAGCAACTGCAGCAGCAGCTGCAGCAACATCGTGATTGCATATGACCATGTTGTAATTGTAATAATTTTTATCCGATCCTTGCACGTACACTATACATACATATTAGCGATTCTTATACGACCACACTGTGATTCTAATGCTTCTAATGATATTATAATACCTTACCTCCGTTTATATGGTTTTAAATTAAAACACTAGTTTATAATCGTTTAATGTTTAGTGTTATCGTTTATAGTATTACAGTTTACATGTTATAAAGTACAGTTTATCCCCGACATACTTCGGGATTAGGGACTGGTACCTTGATGAACGATTAACTACGGGGACCTTTCCCCTCAAGGAACGCGTGTTAATCGGGTAGACAGCCAAGATGCTGCCGGTTAAGGGCATACTTGTGTGACGGAGATCCTCCATCCTGAAATTATCTTAACATGTTTTTGCTAGGAACATTATAAAATAAAGACTGTACAAACATTTGTTAAAAATACATTTTTATTCATCTGCAATCATTTTTACGTCAAAACTCGAAGGGAATATTTATTACGTCCTATGTTCACACATTTCCAGTACCATGCAAACCATTTCCGTTCCAGGAATACCAAAGCGTTAAAGTATAATTTCCCATGATTTCCTTATTAGTTCACCACATTTGTTCACTGTGCGTCTATGTTGAAGTCATGGCCATATATCCAACAAACGCGTCATCAATGTACATCCTGAAATCGGCTATCTAAAATCGATTAATACCAATAAAAAAAGCTATACACTTGACAAAAAAATCTTTAAAATGTTGAGTAAAGATGTACCTATAGACGCATTCCAACTTTAGCTCAACAGGAACACCTAACGACTACAATTGAACCCTCTCACAACCAGTGCTCATCACACCACTTCGGCAAGTAATCCGATAACATTACAAACCACCACTGGGCACGTCATTAAACTCACAAAAACTGTAAAACTAAAATGGTAAAAATTACACACAAAGTACTCGATACGGATTAAAAGGTATAACCACATGGCATAATATTTTTTCAGTCACCCCGAGCTCTCGGTTTGATCCTCGAGCCACTCCATTACATCCAGCCATCTCTCGGGATCCAACTGCATGGGATCGAAGGTGGAATTATCTTCAGGAATCATTGCAGCACCTTGAATTTCAGCTTTTGATTTCAGCTTCCTATCATCGTGGACCTTCTGATGCCTGTTCCGTTTTGACGACTGTGCAAATGCCTTCCCACACACAGGGCACAGGAATGGCTTCTCGCCAGTGTGTGTTCTCTGATGACTCTGAAGATGTGATGACTGTGCAAATTTCTTCCCACACACAGGACACAAGAATGGCTTCTCGCCCGTGTGTGTTTTCTGATGGTCTTGAAGATGTGATGACTTTGCAAAAGTCTTCCCACACACATGGCACAGGAAGGGCTTCTCGCCCGTGTGTGTTCTCTGGTGTCTCTTAAGATTTGATTGCCGTGAAAATTCCTTCCCACACACAGAGCAATTGAATGGCTTCTTGCCTCCGTGTGCGTGGGGCTGTGGAGAGCGTCTCTGCTCCATGTGAGCGTAGTAAGAGCAGCGGTGTTATCGAGTCAAAAGTACGCTATCGGCCGCAAGGATGTTTAGCGTTGAGTTTTAGATTTTGTTAACTGCTAAAACAAGAACGACACTCGCGTCTAACCGAGACGCCAAAAAATCCCACTAATTTAACGACGAAAACGTTTAAGAGTTTATCTGCGACAATACACACTTACTTGGAGATTCACGGTATATCGATGTCTGTAACCCGTCTGAAGATGCCGCCACAAACTCTCCCAACACAAAGTCGCCTAACTGTCGACACAGCAATTGTGCTCGCCAGGCTGCGTTGTCTCGCGGTAGAAGGGCGATCAGCAGAGCGACGAGTCGAGCGTCCAACCTCATCAAGTTCCCTCTCGAAATGGCATTGAGCTCTGCTTCTGAGCTGCCTTATAACTCCCCCCCTAGGATCCAATCCTTTGTCGTTCAGGATATTTGCATTCGATTGTTAATTTTGGAAGGTACAATCCGCATGTCTATTAACATACCGAAGGGTAATGTGCCCATTGTGCTTCATGCATGAATATGTAAGTGCATCTCAGTGTGTAATTGTGCGCTTATTTTGAATTAATGGAAAAACTTTGTCCTCGATTTAAAGTGAATGCAGAGAAATTAGCATCTAACTTTAGAAAAGGAAGAGAGCGGCCTTCTCGACGAGGGAGTGAAACCCAATAGGTAATATTCTTTTACAGCGTTACAATGGATAGGTTGTAGTTCATAGGTTATAATATTATGTTTCACTATGATAGAGCTTAACATGTGAGAGTATACAATATCAGAGTTGATCAAATGCGACGATCAAGGGCGTCAATCGGGTGAGTTTGATCAGAGGCTTTAATCAAAGGCGTCATCCCATCACGGAACACCACCACCCTGCCTATATCACAGCAACAGAAGCAATTACAGCAGCAACAACAGCAGCGACAACAACAGCAGCAACATCACATTTCGAGGGCGACGCAGCTACTTCCGATTCTGCTGCCCAGCTGTTTGTAGTCGGGACCTGCTCTCGCAGGACCCCACACGTCTTTGGAAATAATTGCGATGATCATGTCTGAGCTGAGAATTAAGTCACTCAAGATTACTTTGTTTAACCATAACTTTAGGTAGGTTAGTGTCATAGGGGCTCTGTGAATACTACTCATGAATGAAATCACACTCCTGTATGACCGACATTGTACTAAATTTGGTTGATCGAGTAGAACAAGGCACGTGCCACGTCCAGACGAATTCTTATCAACAACAGTGTCATTAAATATGATGCTAAAATAAATGTTAACACTGGATTAAACGTGCACCTCTTAACCCCTCCCTCGCATTTACGACTAATGATGTGCATTTGCACATAACATACATTCAAGCACAATAAAATGCTAATACGACCATGTCCTGGAAACCATGGCAAGGTCATCCCATGAGGACTGCCTGGATGAAAACCAGCATGGAAGGGGCCCAGTGTGGGGCCGGCTATGCTAAAGGCATAGTCCCGTGTGTGTGTGATGTGAGGTCTCCTGGCAGCAGTCATTCTCCGCTGTAGTCCTGGCATCTGCTGCTCAGCTTCATTCCCCAGCTGTGGTCCAAGTGGCACCGTCTCTCTGGGGACCCGTGTGGTGTGTGTAGCGAGTATCAAGGGGTGGACGGGTAGTGTGGTGATAGCGGTCACGGTCGGCACCGATGCACGACCACCGCCACCACCCCTACTGGGCGGTGGACCTGCCACCACAAAGCAGCACGCGGCGGAGGAGTGAGGCGATCGCTCTCGCCACGCGAGCGAGGCCCCCTCGCTTCCTCTTCTTTTCGTGCATCTCCACCTGCACCTCTTCCATGTTCTCCTCCGTCTCATCCTCCTCCATCCCCTCTTCTTCATCCTCCGCTAGCACCATCTTCTCCTCTACCTCCTCCTCTTCTTCCTGTGCCACCTCCATCGTCTCCATCTTCTTCTCCTCCGCTAGCACCATCTCTTCCTCCTTCATCTCCTCCTCAACTTCCGGCACCACCATCTCCACCACCGTCTTCTCTTCCTCCTCCACCACCATTGTTTCCCCTTTGTCCGTCGTCTTCACGTCCTCCACCACGACCATCTGTTCATCCTTTGTTGTCTCCTTGTCCTCCATCTCTGTATTGTCTTTCTCCTCTCCCTCCGTGTTCTCCTCCATTGTCACCATCACAATCTCGTCCTCCTTTGCCTTCTCTTCCTCCGATTTCTCCTCCTCTGTCTCTACCTCATCCTCCATCATCTCCTTCACCTCTTTCTTCGTCTACTTCTCCACAACCTCTGTCTTCACTTCAAAGGCCTGGACGAGTGAGGAGGAGGGCTGAGCTGGCTCAGATCTGTGAAGAGACAACACGACACCGTTCTAGATTTGAAGATTTCGTGACTGCAATGATTCATATTCTTAGGTTTTTTCGGTAAAGTCACGTAGGTAAAAAACATTAAAAAGTAAAATAAAATAACATACAAAATTAAAATCACGACGTTTCGGAGGCAACACAAGCTTCCGTCTTCAGGTGGTACCGTCACAGCCACGACAGTTGTATCAAGTAAATGAGAGATTTCAGAAGCTACCACTCCGTTTATATACTGGTTGGAGAAGGCGGTGGGGCAAGGGCTGAATACGTTTATTAATATGGTAAGGTGAGGCTTAAGACTAAGAATAGACTGCATATTCTTAGTCTTGACTCAACCTGTAACAGAGAGAACACCACTAGACATGGTAAAACTGTGATGGTTGTCTGTCAAACACGACACCGTTCCACCTTGCTGCTACGGCAGACATCGCCATCTAATAATAATAATAGTTCAATTTGTAACGCGCGCAAATTTGCAGACGTAGTGGCCGCAACTCTGAGGCGCGGAGCCAAGCTCAGAGTCGCTCAGAAGCACGTGATTGTAGAGGTGAGTTTTTAAGTGTCTCTTGAAGGAGGCGATTGAGGTGATGCTGCGAATGTGCAGAGGGATATCGTTCCAGACTGTTGGGGCTGCCACCGAGAAACGGCGCATAGACACGATGACCATCCTGGATCTTGGTATCGAGAGGAGATCGTGAGTCGCGCTGCGCAGGCATCTGCCGTGTGCTGAGCTGCAAGTTGTCAATAATGAAGAAAGGTACGGTGGGCAGGCGGATATGAAGGCATCGTCCGTGGGTGGAATGTGTGGCGGATTAATTCGAGCTTAATAGAAACAGCAATAACGACATGGCCAGTGAGTGTGCTTAGTATTGGTGCTGTCATTCTCATGGCGCCAGGCTATCCTTGAAATAGGTGCAGCTGTGTCTCACACAGACTGCTGTAGTTTCACAGTAGTGGGTGGCGTTGCTGTGCAAATTTAGCTGAATAATTTGGTTCTTTCGGTAAGTCACGTAGGTATAAAATAAAATAAATTAAATCACAACGTTTAGATTGTAACACAAGCAATCATCATAAGGTGGGAAAACCACAGCAATACATTTTCTTGCAATAAAGACATGGCCATCGAAATGTCGTGATTTAATTAAATTTATTTTATTTCATACCTACGTGAATTTACCGATATAACAAAAGAGTATGGATCCCTGTCGTCACGAAAACTTTAAATCTAGATTGACATTTTTATATATGTATATTCTAATTGACCCCTTGTACATAATGTCCTAAGCATTTCAAATGGCATCGATAGAGATCCTGCACGTCCACTGTGACGGAATGGGTGTGTATCTGTGTGGTCAATGCAGCAGCAATAATAGCCAGGGCGGGAAGCAAGGTCTGAACTGTAATGGTGAAGAATGAGTGCACGACCATTTGGCCGCTTCAACACATCCACGATTTCAAAAAAGTGTCCGTCTGTGATTTGTGGTCGAGAGAGCCACCTCCCTTGACGTCGAAGGCATCTCAGAGTGCATTGCATGCGATGAGCCTCTCGCATCTCTCATCTCATCGCGTTTTTAATTGGACACCCCTCTCAGTGGTAGCTGTCGCTGTGCATTAGAAGGCGACTTGGCAGCTGGCCTGGAAACAGGCGATAGACAGCGAAAATCTCACGGTGGATGGAGGGTTACATGGTGAAGATATGCCCACTTCGTTATGTCGTCTAACTCAGAAACCAGTTACGAAAAATAAATCTGTCCTCAGTATAGCGGAATGTACACGTGGAGTTTGTAGTGTCTGTGAATTTTGAGAGCGCGACAGGGCTTGAGCACCTGTGCATCACAGCAACATTGACCTGGGTTTGAGTTCCACGTTTGGCCACATTCTCCGTGTGGATTGTGCAGCCAGCTGTTCTGGGAAGGTTCTGCAGCTTTCTCCCTGTTACTGAACCCACACAAGCAATGCAAATCGTTCAATTTGGATCGCAAACAGTAGCAACTTTCTTGCAAAATGCGAGCAAACTTGGCAGAATCCTCCTGAAAAAAAGTCTTGAGACCGAGTAAGGCTGATGCTGCGTAAGAAGCATGGCAATAAATAACAAAAATAAACACACAGGACGCACACGCAGAGTGGTTTACCGTGGCTCAGCGACTCCGGAGTTTGCTTTATCTTCTTGGAAGCCCTCTTCTCCAAAGCTCGGAGCTATTGGGCCCCACACAGGATTGGAGGACGTGGCGGCGGCGATGGCGGCGGTGGTGGAGGTGGTGTCAGTAGTAGTGGTGCTGCTGCTGGTGGTAGCGGTCTGGAGCCATTGTCGCTCGATCTTGGCGAGGCGCTGCTCTTCCTCGAGGCGCTTTTGCTCCACAAGACGCTTCTCCTCCATCAAGTGCGCCTCCTCCTCTTGACGCTTCACCTCAACGAGGCGCTTCTCCTGAATGAGACGTTTCTCCTCGAGGAGCTTCACCTTGCGAAAGCGTCTCTCCTCAAGTCGCTTATTTTTTTTCTCAAGACGCTTCAGCTCTATGAGACGCTTCACCTCAAAGAGGCGATTCTCCTCCATGAGGCGCTTCTCATCCTCGACTCGCTGCACCTCAATGAGGCGCTGCTCCTCGACAAGGCGCTTCTCTTCTTCCACCCGCTTCTCCTCCATGAGGCGCTTCTCTTCCTCGACCCGCTTCACATCTATGAGGCGCTTCTCTTCCTCCAGATGCTTCTCCTTGAGACGCTTCACCTCGCGAAGGCGCTTCTCCTCCATGAAGCGCGTTTCTTCAAGGAGGCGCTTTTCCATGACCCGTTTCACGTCTTTGAGGATATTATTTCGAAGGCACTTCTGCTCCGTTTGGTGCTTCACCTTGGCGAGGCGCTTCACCTCATTGGGGCGCTTCTCTTCCATTGGGCATTTCTCCTTCGCAAGGCGCTTGTCCTCCTGGAGACGCTTCACTCCTCTGAAGTTCTTCACCTCCCCAATGCTGCTCTGTTCACGCGAAGATAAGCACATGACCATTCAAACATGCACACTCAGGACAATATCCATTCTCGCAGGCACACAAACATGAACGGGCACATATACAACCAAAAATGCATATTCGCACATCCATGTACGGATGCAAACATGCACATTAACTCATGCAAACATGCTAGCACACGTATGAATATACACCATCACCTAATGTTATCAAAATACATGTTACATCCTCATATTCTCACAAATTCAATACACGCACTTAATGCAGTGATAGTCTACAACGATTTCATGGCGATTGTTGGCAACAATCATCACGGGCAATAGTTTCCACAGAATGTTCTATTGTAAAGATCTGGATGCCCATAATCTGGACACATTTTATTGCAGCACCCATAATGGGTAACTGGAATGGCATCTTCCAATCAGCTCACAGACATAATTCATGAGATTGCCTGATATCATTCTGTCTTCATTGGTAATGAATGGCGACTTCATTTGCCTGCACGAGTGGGATATGGCATGACGTGATGGTGGAGAGATGGAGTGATGGTGTTGGGAGATGGTGTTGTGATACGGAGAGGTGAAATTGTGGAATGTTCTGGAGTGACGGTGCCTTGTGATGGTATTGACGCTTTATGAGGCTCTATGATATTGTATTGATTCTCGATTTGAAGCTTTCGTGACTGCAAGCATTCATACTCACGTATGTGACTTTACCGAAAAAACCTAAGAAAGAGTCACATACGTGACTTTACCGAAAAAACCTAAGAGTATATTGTATTGAGTTGGTGGTGGTGTGGTGTGATGAGAAAGGTGATGTGAAGAGATGGTGTGGTGATGTGAGGTGTAGCAATGTTTTGGTGCAATGGTGTGGGAGTGTGGAGAGAATGTGGTGTTTGACTCCCATAGACCCCATACACACCTTTGGGGAACGATTTTCATAGCTTTGGCCTGGGAAAGGGTCCACTTCATCCATAATGTCCCCCCACGTGGTCGACTGGCGCCATGACTCCCGGGCTACGGAAAACAAAATTAATTCAAAGGACGAGTCATGTATTAGAGAACGAAGCACGTGGATATTCACACAACTAATTCTGAGATTCTTGTAATTACCTCTTAACACATAACATGACCTGCTGTTGAGAAACATTAGTCACATGGCAGTAAAACATTACAAGTAATATTTTTGTAAGCATGTTGAGATCATCAATTTCATAAAGTTGAGACCCCAAATTAAACCAATATGGCTGAAACGCAGCTCTAAATCCATGTTGTCTGCCACCCTTGACCGTTTACCTCTTCCCATCACCACCAAGCCACGTCCACTAAAAATAATTAATCAGGGAGCTGCCTCCTCTGCATAAAAACCACGTGCTGCAGGTATTTGGGATAATTGTTTTTTTACCCTTCTATCTGGCAACACAACTGACACCTTTTTACAAGGAGTCATGTTTGCATAGACCACAATACCTTCAGTCATAATACAAACAAAAGACATAAATCTGATAATGTGCACTGTCCTTGAAGTTGATTGGTCCACACCCGAGACAGCTTTCCTTAGAGCCTAGTCTCACATGGGTTGGACCAGATGACGCCAAAAGGCGCACAACTCAAAGACAATGCACCATCAGAGTATGAGAGCATAAGGTATTTGGGACTTACCATCATAGTCCTCCAAGATCTCAGCCCACTTGCGTTGTCTGTCCATGTTGTTGGGAAGGAATAGTTTCTGTTTGATGTTGGAGGGCCTGGGGAGGTTGTAAAAACGCTCAGATTTATCAGCCTTTTGAATCACTCATCCTCTCAATTATTACAAATTTGATCACTCGCTGTACTAATCAAATCACTTTCGTGCCGTTTGTTTTACAAGTCCACTCACTCGCTTGTTTGCCCACTCACGCGTGCGTCAGATCACTCACTCATCCACCCACGCGAACATGTGTATTCCAACTGCCTATTGCATTAAACATAATCGCCAGACAAAACCGTGATGTTTAACCTCTAATCCAGACAAGCATGTTGATGCACAGCCCATTTGTATTAATCGACTGTTTGATAAAGGCCCCCCTATGTCTTGTAGGTCATTGGGGTCAAATGACCATACTTAAATCATTTGTTATAACCCGAGAATGACGTCGTAGGTCACTTGATGTCAGAGGTACCGCCCATGTGGCTGTGACATCACAGATAGGAGACGTCTATGGCAGCAGCTCGGGTCTGAACTAAAAGGCAGACTCCTCCCCCGTGTTGGATAAAATTCAATACATGCAATGCAGGGCACAATTATGCAGGCAATCAGAACACAATAATTATAGACATGTTAATCATATTACATGAGATTTAAACAGGTTAGTTATGAACGTTTTAAATGTTAACTTGCTTTGGGTCTAAACAATGACAGTAACAGCAACATATCAGAGCATGCCAAGTAATCTAACTAATAGTCCTAATTTGGTTGCAGAAAATCCAAATAGCAACATACACAAAAATAATGAAGCTTTAGTTTGTAGTCAAAACGTGCAATAAAAATAAACAACACACATCGTCAACAGGGACGCTCACCTCGTTGACGATTCGCTCTGCAAAGGCTTCTTCTGCTGCTGCTCACTCGTGTGCATTCCTCTCGACTGCGGGTGGAGGCGTGGCTATGACGTAACAGAGGTGACGTCACTACAGCGAGGCTCCGCCCCCACGCGCTTGGCGGGCGCACCACGTGGTGCAGTGCGGGTGGTGTGCGTCACCGGAAACAGCAGAGCCCTCGGTTCGACATTAAACATTTGCCCCCTCGCTTTGTGCTGTCTTTGATGTCGCCGTTACTGCGGCGAGGACTGAAGCGATGCCTGGCCATCAGGCCTGGCATATACCTAGGCCTCAGGCTTCATACTGTTTCGTAGTTATTTTTTGTTTAATAGGAATTATTAACTTGCATTTCATTAATTACATTTCAAGCGTATAAACACCATCCCATTGGTTTATTTACTTTTAAATTCAGGTTTTTTATTAAGAGTTTTTGGTCTGTAGTTATATTTAAGTGAGTGAGGTGGTTGTACTAAGTGTGAATTTGAGTTCCATGTAAATTATTATTGTGTAAAGGATTTGTCTGTGTGCACCTATCCTGGCAGTGGTAATATGGGCTTTTTATGATGAAGTTGTTAATGAGATTGTTTATTTGTGTGTGTCTGTTATCTATGTCTGTGTCAGGTTACATATCTATGTTTGTAGCTGTGTGTATTTGTTAATTTATGATGGGTGGTGATGATGCTGTTTCTTGATAATGGATGGTGGTGATGATGATGGGTGGTGATTATGAAGGGTGGTAATGATGATGGTTGGTGATGATAATGTGTAGTGATTATGATGGGTGGTAGTAATGATCATGGGTGGTGGTAATGATTGGTGAGGTTATGATAATGGGTGGTGATGATGATGGGTTGTTGTGATTATGGGTGTTGATGATGATGGATGATTGGTGGTGGTTATGATGAATGTTGGTTGTGATGGTTGGGTGGTGGTGGTGGTGACGATGGTTGGTGATGGTGAGTTGATAGTGATAATGATGATTGGTGATGATAATGGGTGTTGATGCTGATGATTATGGGTGGTGATGAGTAAATGAGCCACCACCCAATATATAACAGCAACAGAAGTAACTACAGCAGCAACAATAACAGCAGCAGCAACAACACATTTTGAGGGCGACGCAACTACTTCTGATTCTGCTGTTTCTGCTGCTCGACTATTTGTAGCCAGGCCCTGCTCTCGCGGGACCCCACAAATCTTTGGAAATGATTGCGATGATCATGTCTGAGCTGAGAATTAAGTGACTAAACGTTACTTTGTTTAACCATGACTGTGTGTAGGTTAGTATCTGGGGGCTCAGCGAATACTATTCATGAAAGAACTCGTACTCCTTTATGACCGACATTGTACTAATTTTGGTTGATCGAGACGAACAAGGCACGTGCAGACGAACTTTTATTTCCAATATTGTCCTTAAATTTGATGCTAAAATAAACGTTAACACTGGATTAAACATGCACCTCTTAACCTCTGCCTCGCATTTACGACTAACAATTTGCATTTACACTTAACATACAGTCAAGCACAGTAAAATGCTAATACGACAATATTGTTATTCTAGGAATTTGAATTCGATTCTAACCCTGCACCCCACCCCAGTTTGCATATCCAACCCCCGGTTCGATGGAACGTTCGCTTTACATACATATGAGCAGAGTGCGATTATAATACTTCTAATGAGATTTGAATACCGTACCTCCGTTTATGGTGTAATGAATTAGAAAACCAGTTTATAGTCATTTAATGTTGAGTGATATTGTTTATAATGATACAGCTGAAGTCATAGAGGTGAAACGGCTGCAGTGTGTATGAATACAGATAGGGCGTCGCCGTTGGTTCGTCCACCCATCCCGCCTCAAGACTTATGTCCGTCCCCACCCAGACAGCTCATCCCCATGTCCTGTACAGCCCAAGTCTGGTGTGTCCGACGTGGTGGGGCGCTCGGCAACGGAAACCGTATTTCCAAAGGAAATGTGTTGTGGCGCCCACAGTTTCTGAGCCCCTGATGCCCGGGGTGCCTCACGGATCCGCCACGTTCGAGGTACCGGTGCCTGGAGCCTGGTCATATTCTTCAAAAGAAGTCAGGGACCTGCCTAATCCTTCAAGGCTGTGGTGCGAGCCCTTGACGCCCCGAAATGCACAAGATTTCACCATGGGCGCGGGACGGGCGTCGAGAACCAGGTCAAAATGCGCAAGGTTGCGCTTGTAGGCTCCACGCCCAATATCAATGCTGTATATTATTAATTCTGACCTTACTCCCTCCCTTTGATGCTGCTAATCCTGCATAATGCACGGGCATAATGACTTTAAACCCCTCGCCAAACCTCCTACGCATTTCACAAGTAGTGCTAATCGCATATCTGCATTTCCCATAAATATGCTAAACTCCTCTTGATATGCAAATTATTTTGTCAAGACGCTCTTCGCCCCTCCATCGCAGCAGCATAAATAGTAGCTCCAAGCCTGGAGCGTGACATTCAGACTCTGTCTACTTGACGGACCTGTTCTCCACCTGAGGACGGCTGCTTGCGTTGTGGCCGAAACGTCGTGAGAATTATTTTATTATGTTTTATTTTTATTATTTTATTACTTCCCTTCTACGTGACTTTACCAAAAGAACCAAGAAGATGTATATTGCTATTCGGTTCCATTGAGATGGAACATTCTACCAGCAGTGGGCAGCTTGATTCTAATACGACCATGGTGCGATTTTAATAATTTTGATGCGATTCTAAATCTGGCACCACCCAGGCCGCATTTACGACTCCCGATGTGCATCAACATATAACATACATTCTAGCTCAGTGTAATTCTAATACTATTATAGTGTTATTCTAATCATTTTTATCCGATCATAATCCTGCACCCCCCAATTCGCATATCCGACCACCGGTTCGCATGTCCAAAGGCCATAGATGCATATTACATGTGTAATGGGTTCAATTTAGGCGCACACACTTCTTGGGAGGCAACACTCATTTATTAATTAACACAACGTTTACTCAACAGTTACTCTTACTCTACACATAGGGTGGTGACCACCGACCTACACTAGCTAACACACAATTGTATTTTAGTCTCTCTCCAGCGTGACCCAGCCAGGTGGCTGCTGGCAGTCCGCTCACTGTAGGTCTTCTCTTCTGGCATCTTCACGAGGTGTCTTCATTCTTCTCAGGAACAGCCCTGCTCTGCCTTCACACCACCCTTATATCTCGTCTCTCTGGCGTGGCCGGCTCCGCCCAGGCCACGCCTCCCTTCCCAGGCCACGCCTCACTTCCCAGGCCACGCCTCACTTCCCCCACCTCTGGGAAGGTCCGGATCCCTCCAGCACGTGACCCCCCAGGCACCCCCTTGGGGCCCCCAGCCCTCGTACGGGCCAACACAGTAGTGACCGTTCTGTCACTACATCACCCCCTCCTGTATAAACACACAGCCGTCCCCGGCTGTAACACAACTGTGAACATCGAAAAGGTGTGCCTCCGAACCAGCAACATCAATAAATGACCGGCGACCGATAAGAAATACAATCACGTAATATATACAGAATCGACGAGGGTTAAAGGGAACCGCATAGAAAACGGGGAATTAACAACAAATATACATGAAAACTGGCTAACCCACTTACGCTACAGCACAGCCCCCCCACCGTTAGAATCACGCATGCAATGACAGTCACCCGTTAGCACCCCCCCGCCTTTCCGACGTGGCGTCACAACCAGTAGCACGCGTCGGCCATATCGGGGGGGGAATTTCCATGTTACCACCCCACCGCCTTTCCGACGTGGCGTCACAACCAGTAGCACGCGTCGGCCATATCGGGGGGGGGATTTCCATGTTACCCCCCCACCGCCTTTCCGACGCGGCGTCACAACCAGTAGCACACGTCGGCCATATCGGTGGGATTTTAACCCAGTCTCTCTCCAAGACTCGCATCGCAGCATATAGCTGTACCGACCGAGCTGAGATGACCCAGTCTCTCTCCCAGGCTCGCATCGCAGCATATAGCTGTACCGACCGAGCTGAGACGACCCATCGTTCACTCACTGCACAACATGCACCCTAACAACTGAGGGAAACAGTCTCAACGTAACAGGCCAACTCCACCCGAACCTTACGAATCTCCAGCCCACTGTTTCAACGCGCCTCAGAGGGTCTCAACCTCCGAGCCGTCAGGTCAAGCTGTCAGCCATAGCATGACGGGACCACCCTCCCTGAGCCATGTGAGCGCACAGCCCACAAGGCTAGACAAGCCACAGAGTGTCTCGCTCTCCGGGCTGTCAGGTCAAGCCGTCAGCCATTGCATGACGGGACCACACACTCCGAGCCATGTGAGCACACAGCCCACTAGGCTAGACATACCACGGAGTGTTTCGCTCTCCGGGCTGTCAGGTCAAGCCGTCAGGCACAGCATGACGGGACCACACTCTCCGAGCCATGTGAGCGCACAGCCCACTAGGCTAGACATACCACGGAGTGTTTCAAGCTCCGGGCTGTCAGGTCAAGCCGTCAGCCATAGCATGACGGGACCACACTCTCCGAGCCATGTGAGCGCACAGCCCACTAGGCTAGACATACCACGGAGTGTTTCAAGCTCCGGGCTGTCAGGTCAAGCCGTCAGCCATAGCATGACGGGACCACACTCTCCGAGCCATGTGAGCGCACAGCCCACTAGGCTAGACATACCACGGAGTGTTTCAATCTCCGGGCTGTCAGGTCAAGCCGTCAGCCATAGCATGACGGGACCACAACGTTCATGTTAGACACGCAACACTCACTGGGCCATCCTGGTCAGGACCTGCGCCCCAAGATAGTGACAGCCAGCAGCACAATTCCAAATCCCTGGCAGCATGTCACCATCGCAATTTAACACCATCACAACACATACAATTTGAATTATGATCCCCCACAGAACTAATCCAATGCCGAACAGGTACGCACAATTTTTTTTTTTTTTTTGACGATCCCGAATATTCAATGGTCACAACAATACACCTCACATCCCGTATCCGTACACATCATCTCCGAGACTCGCATTGCAGCAATGCAGCTGTACCAACCGAGTGGAGAGAGCAATGCAATTTGACGGCAATTAACGGAAACGCACCCCCGATCCATGTAGAACACAAGGAGCATTCCCACACAAAAGACATCATCTGTGCAACAACGGACAGGAACCAACCAGTGAGTTTGAAACAAACCGAACCTGTCACTTCAAAATCCCCTTCAACATTAACCATGGGACTCAGGGCATTCGAATTTTGAGAGAAAAAAACTGTACACAAACCCCAAGAATCGCCGAATTGATTAATACAGTATATGCAGTATACGAAGTTCGTACAGTCAATCATTTGGCACAATGCACCATCCAGTCCCCACATGGCAACACACACAATCAATACTCCAGACAATCCGTACATAGTAAATAATCACAAGCAAGTACCCAACATTCCATACACTGTTAACAATGACGATCAAAGTTTCTGACAGTTGCAAGTGACAATCACGAGCGAAACTCCATACAGTATACACAATAACAATGGCGATTTCGCAACACAACGATGTAACAACACGAGTCATTAACACGGCAACATACAGGATATCAACGGAGCTCGGGACACCAACAACGAATTAATCATTAACTACCCCCAGAAGATACCGATCTCGACGCCGTAATTAACAACAAACACTGGTCGCCGCGTCAATTTCTCACGCACACAACCGGACGAACACGTTCCGCAACCCAGCGAGTAAAAAAAAACCGCGATCGCAACCCGGCACACGCAAGATGGGTGAAGTTATTATTATTTTTATTGGGGCCGGGTGCTTGTCAAGTCACAACTCGCCTGGCAAACTGTGAATAGCGGAGGGCGGCAAGGTGGAGCACTGGAATGGCCTGAAGAATCTTTGATGGTGAACACGGCCTGCTCTTGCGAACCCATCCACCTCTCGCGCTCGAGCAGAAGGCTGGAACTCCCCCTCTGCAGGCGTTGATGTCGGCGGGAGCGGCATTTCGGCAGCAGGAGCGGTGTTTTGGCGGGAACAGCGCCCCGACCAGCCGCCGAAATGGCGGGAACGGCGTTTTGGCGGGAACAGCGCCCCGACCAGCCGCCGAAATGGCGGGAACGGCGTTTTGGCGGGAACAGCGCCCCGACCAGCCGCCGAAATGGCGGGAACACCGCGTGGCCCGCATGCCCAGGCCTCCCCCGCCAGCCACCGCAGCGACGATGGTGTCCTCTCGCCGCGACTCCGTCGCTCCGTTCCCGATGGCGGCGAAGCAGCAGTGCGATGCAAGTCCCACCGCTCCGCGTGCAGCGCCATCTCTCTCTCTGTCACCGGGGCTGCCATCCCCGGGGCTGTCCGAAGGACGGTCGTCACACCATCCCCGTCGTACGAAGACGTCCAGATGAGTTTTGTATTTGTTTTTCGTGTGCCCATTTTACTTCCCTAGGATAACACCTAGCAATATTTATTTTTCCACAACTGATGCCAAATGTAATGGGTTCAATTTAGGCGCACACACTTCTTGGGAGGCAACACTCATTTATTAATTAACACAACGTTTACTCAACAGTTACTCTTACTCTACACATAGGGTGGTGACCACCGACCTACACTAGCTAACACACAATTGTATTTTAGTCTCTCTCCAGCGTGACCCAGCCAGGTGGCTGCTGGCAGTCCGCTCACTGTAGGTCTTCTCTTCTGGCATCTTCACGAGGTGTCTTCATTCTTCTCAGGAACAGCCCTGCTCTGCCTTCACACCACCCTTATATCTCGTCTCTCTGGCGTGGCCGGCTCCGCCCAGGCCACGCCTCCCTTCCCAGGCCACGCCTCACTTCCCAGGCCACGCCTCACTTCCCCCACCTCTGGGAAGGTCCGGATCCCTCCAGCACGTGACCCCCCAGGCACCCCCTTGGGGCCCCCAGCCCTCGTACGGGCCAACACAGTAGTGACCGTTCTGTCACTACACATGCATACGAGCACAGTTCGCTTGCACGTACACTATTATACACGAAATTCTCAGTTTTTTTAAATGAACGTAGTTTTTTCACATCATATGAAATGCAATTATGTTATAATATGTGATTGTTATACACTTTATCTGTTTACATACCGTATATAGCTATTCGATTCAATTAACATGACATTCATCCAACAGTGGACAGTTTTATTCTAATACGACTAACGTGGGATTTTAATAATTGTAATGAGATTCAAATCTTGCATATCCTACCCCCGGTTCGCATTCACTTAACATGCATATGGTCACAGTATGATTCTAAGATTATCACAGTGCGATTATAATTATTATTATGCGATTATAATTACGAACCTCCGTTTATTTTGTTCAAAACTAATAATACCGTACCTCTGTTTTTGGTGTTATAAATGATGAAACTAGTTAATAGATTATTTATTTTAACTATTTTTGTTATCGTTGATAGTGTTACAGTTCACACGTCATACTTGATGATTAGGGGCCGTAACGTTGCGAATAGATTTATAATGGGGACCTTTCCCCTCCAGGGACACATGTTAATGGAGAGACAGCCAAGATGCTGCCGGTTAAGGGCAGATTTGTGTGACGACGATCCTCCACCTAAAACTCGCTTAAAACACGTTTTTGCTATAAACATTATAAAATAAATAAACGGACACACATTTGTTAAAATACGTTTTTATTCATTTGCAATCACTTTTACGTCAAAACTCGAATGGAATATTTATTATGTCATATGCTCAAACAGTTACAGTACAATGCAAACCATTTCCGTTCCAGGAATACCAAAGCGTTAAAGTATAATTCCCCATGATTTCCTTATTAGTTCACCACGTTTGTTCACTGTTCGTCTATGTTGAAGTCCAACGAACGCGTCATCAATGTACATCCTAAAGTCGATTATTACCAACCAAAAAAAGCTTTATACTTGAAAAAAAAACGTAAAAAAAAATGTTTAGTAAAGATCTAACTACAAATGCATTCCAACTTTAGCTCAACAGGAAGACTTAAACACAACAATATTGTCTGGAATTGAACCATCTCACAACCACTGCTCATCACACCACTTCACCAAGTAATCACTACCTGCACGTCAATAAACTCTCAAACGAACTGCAAAACCAAAGGGTCAGAATTACACACAAAAGTACTCAAGACAGCTTAATAGGTATAACCGCATGCAACATTATATTTCAGTCACCGCTAGCTCTCGGTTCGATCCTCGAGCCACTCCATTACATCCAGCCATCCCTCGGGATCCAACTGCATGGGATCGAAGGTGGAATTATCTTCAGGACTCATTGCAGCACCTTGAATTTCAGCTTTTGATTTCAGCTTCCTATCATCGTGGACCTTCTGATGCCTCTTCCGTTTTGATGAGTGTGCAAATGTCTTCCCACACACAGAGCACAGGAACGGCTTGTCGCCCGTGTGTGTTCTCTGATGGTCTTGAAGAGTTGACGATTGTGCAAATGCCTTCCCACACGCAGGGCACAGGAATGGCTTCTCGCCCGTGTGTGTTCTCTGATGGTCTTGAAGAGTTACCGAGTGTGCAAATGCCTTCCCACACACAGGGCACAGGAATGGCTTGTCGCCCGTGTGTGTTCTCCGATGGTTTTGAAGAGTTGATGCCTGTGCAAATGCCTCCCCACACACAGAGCACAGGAATGGCTTCTCGCCCGTGTGTGTTCTCTGATGGTCTTGAAGAGTTACCGAGTGTGCAAATGCCTTCCCACACACAGGGCACAGGAATGGCTTCTCGCCCGTGTGTGTTCTTTGATGGTCTTGAAGAGTTGACGATTGTGCAAATGCCTTCCCACACACAGGGCACAGGAATGGCTTCTCGCCCGTGTGTGTTCTCTGATGGTCTTGAAGAGTTGACGAGTGTGCAAATGCCTCCACACACACAGAGCACTGGAATGACTTCTCGCCCGTGTGTGTTCTCTGATGAGTTTGAAGAGTTGACAATTGTGCAAATGCCTTCCCACACGCTGAGCACAGGAATGGCTTCTCGCCCGTGTGTGTTCTCTGGTGTCTCTGAAGATGTGATGGCCGTGAAAAGGACTTCCCACACACAGAGCAATTGAATGGCTTCTTGCCTCCGTGTGCGTGGGGCTGTGGAGAGCGTCTCTGCTCCATGTGAGCGTAGTAACAGCACCGGTGTTATCGAGTCAAATGTACGCTATCGGCCGCAATGATGTTTAGCGTTGAGTTGTGGATTTTGTTAACTGCTAAAACAAGAACGACACTCGCGTCTAACCGAGACGCAAAAAAATACCGCAAATTTGACGACGAACACGTTTAAGAGTTTATCCGCGAAAATAGACACTTACTTGGAGATTCACGGTATATCGATGTCTGGAACCCGTCTGAAGATGTCGCCACGAACTCTCCCGACGCAAAGTCGCCTAACTGTCGACACAGCAATTGTGCTCGCCAGGCTGCGTTGTCTCGCGGTTGAAGGGCGATCAGCAGAGCGACGAGTCGAGCGTCCAACCTCATCAAGTTCCCTCTCGAAATGGCATTGAGCTCTGCTTCTGAGCCGCCTTATAACTCCCCCCCCTAGGATCCAATCCTTTGTCTTTCAGGATATTTGCATTCGATTGTTAATTTTGGAAGGTACAATCCGCATGTCTATTAACATACCGAAGGGTAATGTGCCCATTGTGCTTCATGCGTGAATATGTAAGTGCATCTCGGTGTGTAATTGTGCGCTTATTTTGAATAAATGGAAAAACTTTGTCCTCGATTTAAAGTGAATGCAGAGAAATTACATTTAACTTTAGAAAAGGAAGAGAGCTGCCTTCTCGACGAGGGAGTGAAACCCAATAGGTAATATTCTTTTACAGCGTTACAATGGATAGGTTGTAGTTCATAGGTTATAATATTATGTTTCACTATGATAAAGCTTATCATGTGAGAGTGTACAATATCAGAGTTGATCAAATGCGACGATCAAGGGCGTCAATCGGGTGAGTTTGATCAGAGGCTTTAATCAAAGGCGTCATCCCATCACGGAACACCACCTCCCTGCGTTTATTACAGCAACAGAAGCAACAACAGCAGCGACAACAACAGCAGCAACATCACATTTCGAGGGCGACGCAGCTACTTCCGATTCTGCTGCCCAGCTGTTTGGAGTCAGGACCTGCTCTCGCAGGAGCCCACACGTCTTTGGAAATGATTGCGATGATCATGTCTGAGCTGAGAATTAAGTCACTCAAGATTTCTTTGTTTAACCATAACTTTAGGTAGGTTAGTGTCATCGGGGCTCTGTGAATACTACTCATGAATGAAATCACACTCCTGTATGACCGACATTGTACTAATTTTGGTTGATCGAGTAGAACAAGTCACATGACATGTCCAGACGAATTCTTATCAACAACAGTGTCCTTAAATATGATGCTAAAATAAATGTTAACACTGGATTAAACGTGCACCTCTTAACCCCTCCCTCGCATTTACGACTAACGATTTGCATTTTCACATGTGCATGATTCTTATACGACCACACTGTGATTCTAATGATATTATAATACCTTACCTCCGTGTATATGGTTATAAGTTTATAATCGTTTAATGATTAGTGTTATCGTTCATAGTATTACAGTTTACATGTTATAAAGTACAGTTTATCCCCGACATACTTCGGGATTAGGGACTGGTACGTTGATGAACGATTAACTACGGGGACCTTTCCACTCAAGGAACACGTGTTAATCGGGTAGACAGCCAAGATGCTGCCGGTTAAGGGCACACTTGTGTGACGGAGATCCTCCACCTGAAATTCTCTTAACATGTTTTTTCTGGGAACATTATAAAATAAAGACCGGACAAACATTTGTAAAAAATACGTTTTTATTCATCTGCAATCATTTTTACGTCAAAACTCGAAGGGAATATGTATTATGTTCTATGTTCACACATTTCCAGTATAATGCAAACCATTTTCCGTTCTAGGAATACCAAAGCGTTAACATATAATTCCCCATGATTTCCTTATTAGTTCACCACATTTGTTCACTGTGCGTCTATGTTGAAGTCAAGGCCATATATCCAACGAACGCGTCATCAATGTACATCCTGAAACTCCGGAGTTTGCTTTATCTTCTTGGAAGCCCTCTTCTCCAAAGCTCGGAGCTATTGGGCCCCACACAGGATTGGAGGACGTGGCGGCGGCGATGGCGGCGGTGGTGGAGGTGGTGTCAGTGGTAGTGGTGGTGGCAGTGGTAGTGGTGCTGCTGCTGGTGGTAGCGGTCTGGAGCCATTGTCGCTCGATCTTGGCGAGGCGCTGCTCTTCCTCGAGGCACTTTTGCTCCACAAGACGCTTCTCCTCCATCAAGTGCTCCTCCTCCTCTTGACGCTTCACCTCAACGAGGCGCTTCTCCTGCATGAGACGTTTCTCCTCGAGGAGCTTCACCTTGCGAAAGCGCCTCTCCTCAAGACGCTTCTTCTTCTTCTCGAGACGCTTCAGCTCTATGAGACGCTTCACCTCAAAGAGGCGATTCTCCTCCATGAGGTGCTTCTCTTCCTCGACCCGCTGCACCTCAAGGAGGCGCTTCTCTTCTTCCACCCGCTTCTCCTCCATGAGGCGCTTCTCTTCCTTGACCCGCTTCACATCTATGAGGCGCTTCTCTTCCTCCAGATGCTTCTCCTTGAGACGCTTCACCTCGCGAAGGCGCTTTTCCTCTATGAAGCGCGTTTCTTCAAGGAGGCGCTTTTCCATGACGCGTTTTACGTCGTTGAGGATTTTGTTTCGAAGGCACTTCTGCTCCGTTTGGTGCTTCACCTTGGCGAGGCGCTTCACCTCATTGGGGCGCTTCTCTTCCATTGTGCATTTCTCCTTTGCAAGGCGCTTGTCCTCCTGGAGACGCTTCACTCCGCTGAAATTATTCACCTCCCCAATGCTCCTCTGTTCACGCGAAGATAAGCACATGACCAATCAGACGTGCACTCAGGACAAAATCCATTCTCGCAGGCACACAAACATGGACGGGCACATAGACAAACAAAAATGCATACTGGCACATCTATGTACGGATGCAAGAATGCACATTAACTCATGCAAACATGCTAGCAAACGTACGAATATACACCATCACCTAATGTTATCAAAATACATGTTACATCCTCATATTCTCACAAATTCAATACACGCACTTAATGCAGTGATAGTCTACAACGATTTCATGGCGATTGTTGGCAACAATCATCACGGGCAATAGTTTCCACAGAATGTTCTATTGTAAAGATCTGGATGCCCATAATCTGGACACATTTTATTGCAGCACCCATAATGGGTAACTGGAATGGCAACTTCCAATCAGCTCACAGACATAATTCATGAGATTGCCTGATATCATTCTGTCTTCATTGGTAATGAATGGCGACTTCATTTGCCTGCACGAGTGGGATATGGCATGACGTGATGGTGGAGAGATGGAGTGATGGTGTTGGGAGATGGTGTTGTGATACGGAGAGGTGAAATTGTGGAATGTTCTGGAGAGACGGTGCCTTGTGATGGTATTGACGCTTTATGAGGCTCTATGCTATTGTATTGATTCTCGAATTGAAGCTTTCGTGACTGCAAGGATTCATACTCACGTCTGTGACTTTACCGAAAAAACCTAAGAAAGAGTCACATACGTGACTTTACCGAAAAACCTGAGAGTATATTGTATTGAGTTGGTGGTGGTGTGGTGTGATGAGAAAGGTGATGTGAAGAGATGGTGTGGTGATGTGAGGTGTAGTGATGTGTTGGTGCAATGGTGTGGGAGTGTGGAGAGAATGTGGTGTTTGACTCCCATAGACCCCATACACACCTTTGGGGAACGATTTTCATAGCTTTGGCCTGGGAAAGGGTCCACTTCATCCATAATGTCCCCCCACGTGGTCGACTGGCGCCATGACTCCCGGGCTACGGAAAACAAAATTAATTCAAAGGACGAGTCATGTATTAGAGAACGAAGCACGTGGATATTCACACAACTAATTCTGAGATTCTTGTAATTACCTCTTAACACATAACATGACCTGCTGTTGAGAAACATTAGTCACATGGCAGTAAAACATTACAAGTAATATTTTTGTAAGCATGTTGAGATCATCAATTTCATAAAGTTGAGACCCCAAATTAAACCAATATGGCTGAAACGCAGCTCTAAATCCATGTTGTCTGCCACCCTTGACCGTTTACCTCTTCCCATCACCACCAAGCCACGTCCACTAAAAATAATTAATCAGGGAGCTGCCTCCTCTGCATAAAAACCACGTGCTGCAGGTATTTGGGATAATTGTTTTTTTACCCTTCTATCTGGCAACACAACTGACACCTTTTTACAAGGAGTCATGTTTGCATAGACCACAATACCTGCAGTCATAATACAAACAAAAGACATAACTCTGATAATGTGCACTGTCCTTGAAGTTGATTGGTCCACACCCGAGACAGCTTTCCTTAGAGCCTAGTCTCACATGGGTTGGACCAGATGACGCCAAAAGGCGCACAACTCAAAGACAATGCACCATCAGAGTATGAGAGCATAAGGTATTTGGGACTTACCATCATAGTCCTCCAAGATCTCAGCCCACTTGCGTTGTCTGTCCATGTTGTTGGGAAGGAATAGTTTCGGTTTGATGTTGGAGGGCCTGGGGAGGTTGTAAAAACGCTCAGATTTATCAGCCTTTTGAATCACTCATCCTCTCAATTATTACATATTTGACCACTCGCTGTACCAATCAAATCACTTTCGTGCCGTTTGTTTTACAAGTCCACTCACTCGCTTGTTTGCCCACTCACGCGTGCATCAGGTCACTCACTCATCCACCCACGCGAACATGTTTATTCCAACTGCCTATTGCATTAAACATAATCGCCAGACATAACCGTGATGTTTAACCTCTAATCCAGACAAGCATGTTGATGCACAGCCCATTTGTATTAATCGACTGTTTGATAAAGGCCCCCCTATGTCTTGTAGGTCATTGGGGTCAAATGACCATACTTAAATCATTTGTTATAACCCGAGAATGACGTCGTAGGTCACTTGATGTCAGAGATACCGCCCATGTGGCTGTGACATCACAGA